GGTTCTCAGAAACCGAGGATAAAATACGACTTATGGCTTTTCTATCTGCCACAGAAGATACACATTGGCGAACGGCGAATACCACCGAAACATGTCGGCTGGGGCACGTCAATGCCACCGCTAAAGGCCGTTGGCAACAAAGTAAAAAGAAAAACACGCCAAGCATATGCAGAATATATAGGGAGCGCCTGGTCCCCGGGCGTCACGGGAGAGTTCCGAGACACGACTCCGAGAGCTCTGAAGCGCTTAGTCGCCCAGCAAACGACCTGGCGACCGGTGACGTGTTAATGTCTCGGCCGTGGGTTCCCCGGTAAACCTTTACGTCTGGCCTCGCATCTCAGGTTTAAGGGGTAGACGCACGCAGCGCTGATACAGCAGGCTCTCGTCGGCAAGTTAAGTGTTTTCACGTGCGTTCGAAAACCAGGGTTCCGCATGAAATGCAACGAAGAGAGCGACGTGCCCGCGGCCATTTCCCCGATACCGGGAAAAGCTCATAAACAAGCAGATTTCCAACTTGTAACGGTACGGGACCCCTTGAAACGCGACACTCGACTCCCAAAGCGCCTCCCCATTCCCGACCGAAGCGCCGTCAGGCGGCTTAACAAAACAGAGCGGGGTATGCCGTCCTGTCGGTCGAAAAAAAGTAATAAATAAAGGCGACCACCTCTACATGTGGTATGGAACGTGGTTATATACGCATTTGACCGCAGCGTGACATGGATGAAAACGAACGAAAGCGGAACCGCGGAACAAACGCACCGACAGGAGTCAACTTTTTGTTTTTATTTTGATGCTTATGTTCGCTTTCTCTTTTCTTGAGGAATATCCCTTAGCAACAAGAAAAGAAAATACAGACACAGACACAGAAAGGATAACTCTTTAGCCTCGGCATAGTCAGATATACTCCGTTCCACCTTACGGTGTACCTCGATAGACGCTACAAGCTACACGAGCCAATCCATGGATTGTAGTTTGTGTCGAGACTTCGCGCTTCCCGCGTCGCTCCGCCCATCCAGGAGGACACGTGACATACTCCGAGCTGTGAATTGGCTCCGGTGGCTCGTATCGTCTTTTGCAGTCCACCGTAATACGAAACAAATTCTTAAGGCGAAAGCCTCATATGTCTCATCGTTCAGTCGACCTTCAAAGTCCTTGAGCGAAAACATGTCGACGATACGAAAACAACGAAAATACGGCGATAGTGCGCCAAAAGTTCTTCGCCAGGGAGCGCGCTGTCTTCGGAAGTTCGCTATCACCGGGACCACAGTCGACGCCATGATCGTGTGAGCCAATGAAACGGCGCCAAAAGTGCGTTGTCAAAGAGCGCGCTGTCTTTGGAGGTTCATCATGTCGTATTACACCTGAGACTGCGGAGGAAGAAATCGGAAGAACTTTCAGTAGAAGGAACAGACACAGAGAACGTCTCAGACGTTCTCTGTGTCTGTTCCTTCTACTGAAAGTTCTTCCGATTTCTTCCACCGCAGTCTCAGGTGTAATACGACATGATTAGCTACCACCAGCTCGCCTGCACTCTCACCGTCTTTTCGGAGGTTCGCACGTTTATGTGACCACTCAGGCGAATTAGAGACAATTGAATTAAGAAGGATGACAAAGCGAATTAAGAGGAATCGAAGTGAATTAAGTAAATCAGGGGGGTGTTTGTCTTTAAGGCATCGGCGCTTGGGGCTTTCGCCTTCAAGTCGTCTTAGGGATAATATGAGACCCTGTGACTTTTGAAGTGTTCGCCTCTACACCGACTCACCGACGCCAATTAATGCTGCACATAGACGTGAAATACACCTACTAAGTTTCATCATTATTGAGCTGTCTCCATGTCCTTGCTGCCGTTTGTTTAGTCAACACTGAGCCACTATACTTCATTTCACCTTAGCACGGACTAACTGCGAAGGCTGTGCAAGAGCGAGCGGCTAGCTTCGACTGCCTTGACTGGAGCACTCGCTGCACGAGCGCTCGAACAGCCGCCGAGGCTTTATCCAAAGCAACTAGCTCGGGCAATCGGCACGCGCGGCTAACAATAGTCCATGCTAAGGTGAGATAGGGTGCCTACATGTCTGTCTGTCTCAGGGTAAAGACATCCATTGTTGCACTGAATTGGCCAGCGCGTGACGCTCTCGAGAACTCAGTGCGTGATTTGGACGGTAAAATGGCGTCTATGCATTAGGCAAAGCTACGAGCTCGAGCTGAGTGACACCGGATTGTGCGCACTTCAACATGCATAAAAAACACGATTGGGCGGAAAAATGGCTGAGATGTCACCACTCAAGCAAAAGCGCGCGCGTGTATGAAGGCACTCTAAGGTATCGCGAATATTTATTTACTTTGCGCACCCCCCCCCCCCCCCCCCCCTTTTCCGGCAAGAAGGCGCAACTCACATTTTATCACGCCGAACCGTTTCCATTAACCGGTTAATGGATGCGGTTCCTGTCCAGGTTCATGTTCAAAATTGAATGTGTGGTTTGGCAGTTCTGTTCAAGTTCAGTTTAAAATAACAATTTTGCTCGCTTTTCGGTTTGGGTTCGGCTAGACATTATGCTTAATATCTACCTGCTAATCGCGTATGATTATAACAGTCGCTTTGTTACGTCTCGCGGAGCCCGGAACACCACCTTGTCTGTCCACAACTTTTCAGTTTTGGTGGCTTCACGAGTCAGCGAGACGATCCAGCCGTCAGTCACCTGCAGTGAAATGACGCTGTTTCAATAGCCACTTGTCATGCACTAGCGAATTGCGCACCAGCCTGTAGGCCCTAGATTACAATCGACGCGGCTCGCATGAGAACCGCACCTCCCCATTCCATTTCCACCCCATTCCGGGCAAAAGGCGTCTATATTTGCATTCCCATTCCATTCCCCTTAGCGCTATACTCGTCCACAACTGTTCTTGGCAATGTAGTGGGAGGTACAGGCACCCGTTCCCTCTCCCATTTTGAGTACTGAATAAAGCTGTGCGCGGGCACTCATCCTTTCTGCTGCATTGCCAAGAAAAGTTGTCGTCGAGTATTAGCCCCGAGAAGTTCGCGTGGCGCCCCCTTACGGCGAACGGGGGTGACGTCACGGCGAGGAGAGAATTTTTCCTCGACTCGGCCCGCTCGCCCTGTGGAGGCTGTGACAACGCTAGCTGACGGCGCGCTCGTTTCTATTTAATTTTTTTGGCGTGTTTTTCGTAGGAAGTGTAAATTTTTATATGTGCCTTTATTGAGGTATGGCCTGTAGCTACAGGCGAAACTTCAACCAACATTTTAAGCATGGTTGACAGGGCAGGCAACGCATGAATCACAGCTGGAATATGAAAATAAAGACATATGGCCACAATTGCAGGAGCATCACTATAGATTTACATTTTGCACAATAAATGCTGCTGATGGTCTGAATGAATTGGCAGGTTATGTATATTATTTTTTTTTTGTATCTCTGTTTTTAAACAAGATCGCCGAAGCAGAAAAGCTGCATGTTGCTCGAGCAACATGTTAAATACAGCCTGGGCCATGAAGAGAGAATTACAAGTAAGACAGCCCAAGTGCAGGGGCAAAGTAAAAAAACAAAAACAAGGAACATTTATTATATACATTGCTCGCATTTGGCCTTTGCTGTATTCGGATAGTATTTCAATGGACTACACGGGTGGTATCTGTGGATTTGTTTATATCAACCCTCAAGTAATGCATAACAAACGTAAGCGAAGGTGTCTAGCTCGTTATTAGTCTCTTAAGCCCTAAAATTGAGATTTTACTTAAATCAAATCGACCTGAAGCTAAAATACCAAAAGCTTTTTTCACGCAGACTGTCGCCCTTCACAGGTTCCACATTTTCTGCTACTAGTGCTGCGTCTACCACTGGACAAACGTTCGAATGCTTGCTTTTAATCCTGTTTTCCTCTGTTGTCAGAGAGTCAAGCTGTAGGGAGTTTGGAGGCTGAGGGACCTGCAGCAGTGTCTCTTTTGATTGGAAATGACAATTCGGACTAAATGGTGTATTTTCACAATACCCAAGGCTGGAATAAAGAATGCCAGGAAAAAGTATAAACATTTCATATTACGGCACTATTGCCGTGCATAGTTTGGCAGTTCAATACATATACAGACAACTGGGGGCAATTCGGCTGTTTTTGCTGCTACCATACAAACTAATTTCCAGTAATTGTGCAGCTTCTAAGAAATATGCCTGCATGCGTGTGTAAACTATATAATTAATTCACGAAGAAGCTACATTTATTTAAAACAACCCTGTTCCACGAGCACTTTCAAGGTCATCAGACGCAGGGCCTTTAAAACATCTGCGAACCAGCGCATGCAGAGTGTCAGCGCAGAGTCAGGGTCGCGAGATAATTTGCCGACCGCCCAAAGGCCCATGATATAAATGCCACTTCAAATGCCTTGAAAGCGGGATGTAATATCGTCTTAAATCATGAACGTGCAAGGAACAGAATTCCAGCGTCTGAAACACTCGCGCCACCGCTTCACCGACCCCTCGCAAGATTGCCTTGTGTCGTGTGGACAAACGGGGAGGTTCATCGGCGGAATTGCCTCCGCCGATAGCTTTCGAAATTTTTAACCCAATTTTAAAGTTAAAAGGGACAAGCACGCTTATAAAATGTACGGAAGCACGTCAATATCGGCCTATCTCAACGTCCTGTACACCAGGTAAACGAAGTCCAGCTCCTCGAAGAGCTTGCGGCACACAACGCCAAACCAGGAAACCGGTGCTGGGAAGCAAGCCGATGCGAGATCGCGGAGCGGAGTACTCCCCCTTACGTCACGGTACACGTCACCCAATCCGGGCGCGGCGTCCGCAGCGACGCTTGTGTTCGCTCTCGGGGTTAATAGCTGTTGCCATTCTATTCCCATTCCATTCTGGGGTCGCGAAAGTGCGGAATGATTCTGGAATCATTCCAACTCCACAACACTGATTTCTGGATATACATGCAGAGAACGTAATTTGCAAAGGGTCAGCGCTGACGGCATGCATGTTTTTGGCCCTAAGGTGGACGACCGCGAATGGCACAAGGTGGACCTGAGCGTGTTCCGTGACCACGTGGTGCTGTACCTGGACTGCGAGAAGCACTCCAGCCTCGAGCTCACCACGCCTCGGGCTCCGATCGACGTGAATGGCGATGTCAACCTGGCCAAGTTCGAAGCAGACCTCAGCACCGTGCCGGTGAGACACGGTCCAATCTAAAGGCTTGTGCGATTAACATTGAGTGTCTTTTCGACCTTTCATGATTCACCCTGTGCTCGCCGTCCGTTATCAAAACAATATATTTCAACCAATACTTACATATACTGTCTGCCCGAAAGAGCGTTTGATGACGTTGCAACCATGATCAGCCTACCTGCGCAAACAGGTATGCTCATGTGCTAATGACACAGCAAAGCGATTGAATAATCTTAGAGCCGGTCGTTAGAAAATAATATGCAAACTGCATGCATGACGCTATTTATTTTTATTTTGCGGTGAGGGTTTGATTGCTTTGGAGTGCGGATGAAAGGACAAAATGGGCAAGATTTTATTGCTACCTTGCATGCTTATCAAGATCAGAGATGGCAAAATTACTTTCAAAAAGTAATTAAATTACATTAATAATTACTTTCTGAAAACAGCAAAAATGTAATTAAATTGCATTACACCTTACTGCAGACTAAAGGTTACATTACAATTATTTTTCAAAAGTAATAAAATTACTTTGAAATTACTTTGACATAACTTTTGATATCTCGAGGCAGTTATTCGTGCTCATTTTAGTTACCGTATACACCAACAGAGTGTTTACAAAACAAGTTCTCATTTGCACTTACAGCGCGTGCGCAGGAACCAGATCCGGTAGAAGCAAGGCGCTGCGCATGCGCAGTGCCGACAGCAGCGCCACCGCAGTGATGTCACGTCAAAGAGCTGAGTTGGTCTATGTGTACCAAAACTCAGATCTTCCTGTTTGCACCGCAACAACCTTATGTGCCTCAAAGTGAACCATGCTGAACAGTGGTTTTGCTGGCGCACACGGCATTAGTGTTAGACATGATGAATAGCTTATTTAGGTGTGACTCAGAAAGACAGTCGACTCACCGGTTTCGCGCTTCATTCAACGGTGAAGGTTCTTACTAAAAGGGGGATATGTTTCCGTCTTCCTGATTTAGAAGTTGTACTTCGTGTCAGTTTGTTCAGTCGGGCAATGGCAGCTCGTTCTTACTAGGAGTCGTCGCGTGAAACGTTTCCCTTCCACCTGGGACGCAATCTAATTGCACTATACTCGGCGATAGCGTCTCTTGGCAATGCAGTGGAGAGGAGGAGAGCCCGCGCACAGCTTTGCTCGGCGCTTAAATTGGGAGATGGAACGCGTGACTGTACCTTCCATTACATTGTCATGAAAAGCTGTCGCCGAGTGTATTTGACCTATTCTCGGTCATTCCTTTCAAGGAGCATTTTTCCGAAACACCCGAAGAGTCCAAGCTTTTGCGCATTGTCACACAAAGGGCCCGGATAATTGCTAAGTAGAAGCGTCGCCAGTTGGTGAATGGCGCGAGCTTCCTAAATTCTGTACTTTCCCAACAAACGGAGGGCGACATCTGCTTGTAGGCTTATTCCCGAATAAATTTCCCAAGAGAAGGCAGCGAGGCATACCGCGAGCGGCACCTGCTTTGCTCGAGGACGCACGAAACGTTCTGGGGCTTTGACAAGGCATTTGGAATTAACTATTTATTCTGGACGTCTGTTGTTCACAATAGTCGAAGCTGACGGTTTTACCTTGCTTGACGAAAGTACAAGGCTGGGGACCTGTTTGTCCTGTCCTCTCAGGTTTTAAATTATGTTTAACTCACTGGTGATGTGCACGTCACCTTGCAGCCTATGAGCCGTTCATACCTAAGCTGACGTACTCCCAGTTTAGGGATGAACGGTGAAAGCTACGTGTTTGTTGGAGCAGTCACACGTCTATCGTTCGCCACGTAACCACGCACTCGTTCATACCCACGCGCATAGAAAGGTACGGGACACGTGATTAAAAGAAGGTGTTTGAATGGTTCTGGTTAGCTTGCAGCTCCCACAGCACTGTCAGCTTAGGGACGAACGAAGCATAGTATCGTCCTGATGACGCGACGCCGTGAATCCGTCGTGCCTGGAGTTCGTAAGCCGTTGCCTTCCAGCGGTGTCTACACGTAAGCTTTTCTCCTTCGCCTTTCCAGCCCTCCTTTGTGCGTCTGTCCAGCTCTTCGTACAAGGCTTTGCGCTCAGGTGGCCGTCGATTATTTCCTCTGATGCTCTTTCACAACATTTCACCATGCAAAATATTTTTTCTCTTCTTTCTTAAAGCTTGCAAACGAATTTTCTAATTTAGGACAAAAGTATTTAGTAATTTTCTCAAAATTACTGCCTAAAAGTAATTAATTACATTACAAAATTACTAGTCTTGAGAAGTAATTAATTACATTACTAATTACTCGAAAAAGTAATTTAATTACTCTAATTCCATTACAGTAATGTCATTACTGCCATCTCTGATCAAGATCCCCCAATACACGCAGCTCGTACCATGGCTGTACGCCCTAAATCTGGAAACCGCTGGATATCGTGGAGGGCTGTTGCTGGATAGTTCATAACCATAAGGCTTCTTTTATAGTTGGATCTCCAGTGGATGGTGATGAGCTGCAATCCATCCAGACCGGAAAGGGAATCGTGCATCGAGCTTCCGGTAAGTGAACTAACCTGAAAAATGGGTGCACTGGGACGAACAGCTCGATGTTCAAAGCTTGTATGTAGAGTGTCAGAGCATCAAACTGCCAAAAATGACCAACAGACGACTCGATATATCTGAGCCAGAACACCAAAAACAATAGGTGCCATAATATTCGAGTCACGACATCTTGTCGAATATCCAAGTAGGTCGAAACATTCATCGAATCAATGGATCCAGCCGAGTCTCATTATTCAGTCTAACGTGTCGAAACACGCAGTGAGTCAAAAGATCCAATGTGTCGCATGGCGATCGAGTCAGAACATTCATTGTATCAGAACATCCAAAAAGGTTAAGACGTTCATCGAGCCAGAACTTGATTGTATCAGTCGAGAAAATCATCCACCCTTGTCGAGCCATTAACGTACCCGAGAGCGTTCAGACTTCGTCTTTGACACATGATTCTGCACGACTGGAGGCCGAGGCTACATGAACTGTATACCACCCAGTGCTTCCAACGCGTCGCTACTACCCAGGATTAGATGCGTCTTCAACCGAACCCAAATCATGTGACCCACGAGAGTTATGCAAACGACCCGGCTGGCTTCTGACATCAGCTAGGCGGTGGTACTGACGGTGGAATATAGCATGCGACGCTTGTTAATTCGGAGAGCAGGTCGTCTGCTTCTTGCGCAGGAGGTCGGTGACGTCAGAACGACTTTGAGCTCTGATTGGTTTTGATTGAAAGGATAGTGTGTATAGACCTTAATGCTAGATGCTTTTAGGTCTACCCACTATACTTTTTTTCAGTCAGCCGATAAGAGCTCGGTGTTCTGACATCATCGCAACCCCTGCGCAAAAAGCAGACGAGTTTGCGCTCCGTATAGACTGAGTTGGCGAAATTAGTACACTAATTTGACATATTATAACGCAACATTGCGTAAAGTGCTGTAAAACCTTCTCAACTTTATGAACTTCATGACGGAAACTCAAGGCGATAAAGCAAGATGCAGGCATACTTCGGAATCATTAGAGAGATAGCGACCTGAAATTCGAAAAAAAAAAAATCTTAAATCTTTTACGTACCGGAGTTTTACAACTAATAGCGTACACTCTTGTCAAGTTTTACTGCAATGCCTAATATATGTACAGAAAAATAAAACATTTTACGCTATCCGACGATGCCAAATCACGTTATCTTCTAATGGCTGTAGTTCCGCGTCGGTTAGGCTTAGAATGATTATACCCTCGTTAGAAAGAGCCTTCCTCACCTCACAATTTCGGCACATTAACCAAGTTCGGTCGGGAGTAAACACTACATGAGAATAACAACACCATATAAATCTCACTTTTAGGAGGCTATACGCACGAACAAGACTCGGAAGGCCCGTCCTGATTGAATAGAAACCTGAAACTGTAGAACCGGCATCTGTTTATAGGGAGTCACGTGGGTTCGTCTGCGTTGTGTTGCGACGACGCTCGCCCCGCCTACAAGTGCTGTCGCTGGTTTGTGTATCGGAAGTACATCAAATTTTTAACTCGTTTCACAATCAATGTCCACACGACGACAACCAAACACACTCGAAGAAAGCGTTTGAAGCTTCGATTCGCTCAGCAAAGCCACACAGCAGATCAGATGGAAGCGGAAGGCACTGCCTATCTGGTCCTGGTGCCTTTTAATCGCCACGCGGAAGGGTTTTTACCTTTCTCTTTTGCCTGGCAGGCCGCCGTGTACGCACCGTTCCTGCGCAAATAAATCACTTATCACTTGCCACCACCACAAAAATAAAATGTAGGGTGTAGAAGCTTGAAACAGTTTTTTTTTTTCTTTCTCAATTTCACTTTTTCATGGCAACTCTTATTTGAGAAGATCAATCTTTTCGACGCCTTATCAAATTTATTCTTCGTTGTCGATGTTTCTGCACTGAAATCTATTAAGGGATGTGGCTAGATATCTATTTCTTTATTTAAATGAAATTTCCATTGCCAGAAAGGAGGTTTCTGATGGGCAGAAAATGCCCAATAATGTGGAACATTTTCAAGTTGATATATTGCATGGACAAAGCTCAACTTTCAGCGTAGTAAATATATAGCCTCTCTTCCCATATATTTTAGTTGAGGCTTAAGCTCAGAAATACCCAATGTTTTACAGAAATATTTTTTACTATAAATTTTCTTGCTAAGTTAAGCGACCTTCAATTAGCACCGTAGCTGTATACCTCCTCCTGTAGCTTGTCGGAAAGTTCTCTCAAAGTTTAAACTTTGTACAGTGCACTTGAACAGACAGGTGCATAGACTCTTCATATTTCAACTATCAATAATGAATGACTGGTTTAAAAGTTGGCACTTCAAGGTGGAGTCTCCTTGACGAAAGTGAGGAAAAATCAGCCAATCACCCAGCTGAAACTCCAGGTTCAACTGAGCAAACCAAGCCGTCATCCGCGCTCCAGCCAAATTGAGATGTCCGAGCCAAACTAGGACTTCCAGCAGATCTGAAAATTAAGCTGTATCAAAACGTTTAGCTGAGCAAAAGAAATAGCCGCATTGAAACTTGCACCTAAAAGGTCGATTACACGTGGTACGCTACCGGTAGAAAGAATAAAAAAGCTTAATGTAAAAAAATAAAATTGCGCTCGTGTTAAAGCATGGTGTCGTGTTTGTACGTCGTGCTACAAGTTCTGCTCATGCAACGGAACATCATTCTCAGCCCAAAAAGGTACCCACGGTGCCGCCTACGCTGCCTGCCCCTTCCCCTCCGCCAGTGCCGATAGAGTCGGTGTGCGTGGACTGCCCTCCTGGACCTCCTGGACTAAACGGAACAGAGGTGGGCAGCGCTTCCCCACTCGCGACTTTCTAATCGTGCACTGTCGCACGGATATGTGCTTGTATCTGAATAAAGCTTTTACTTGCAAAAAGGCGAGCGAGAAAACCTAGATTAATGCTGAGCCAGCGCCAAGATACTACAAAGGCGCCGCAGCAGTGATACTGCTGCAGCGTTGATACAGCGCTACGTTAGCGCTGCACTGCGGGTGTATACGGCCTGCAAGTTAGTCTGTTCTTTGCGCACCTCGAGCGCTTGTTTTTCTCCGATTTTAAGCAATGACGGATTCACATGCAACAGAGTGTTAATACAGTGTTGTGTCTCGGCATTGAGTTACCTTTGTGGTGTATACATATATGAACGGGCCTTTGCAGTTCCACAATGCCTACAGGCTCCGGTCAGTCGCGACGCACGGGGGAGAGCGAATGGTACGCGTGTCTTCCGTGTGATGGGGCCAGCTAAGTGCTCAGCAATTCTGTCCTGCGGTGAAGTCCATAATCTACTCCACAGGGGGCTCTCTGCAGGGAGTCCCCTGTGGAGTAGATTATGGATTATGGCTCCGGCACCTCGGCAAAGATGCACCATATAGGAGCACTTCAGCTATAATCTGCGCCACACCGGTTACAATATTTGAGAAGTCATTTATAGGGTGCTAGGGCCGCATATAGTTACGTCACAAAAAAAAAAAAAAAAAAAAAAAAAAAAACACAAAAGGAGGTGGAGTTGAAGGCGGATTAAAATTTCAAGGCAACAACATTAGGGGAAGGTGAGAAGAAATTACACCTACAGATGATATTCCTAAATAATAAAGGAGTATAATAAAATGGCTCAGTCAAAACGGAAAACATGAGGGTTATTCCTTCGTGTTTCGCTGGCATTTTATTCAGGCATGTTTCGGTAGCAGTTCAGAAACCTTGACTGGCGTTAGAAATCTGCCGGTGCGAGCGCATAGCTTGTCAGGGTTTCCACATTCCCGACCGATCGCCTGCGAATGGATTCACATCGCAAACAAGCTCTCATGTCACTGTTTATTCGCTCACGTCATGATCCCGCGGTCCATCGTAGTCGGGTGGTTGCGGCAGGCAGCGCCCGCGCCAACGGAGAAGGCCCGGTGCCCACGCGTCTCCTTGGTGTCGGACCAACTAAGGCCCTTCATGTCGGGTGTCCGGTCCAAAGACGAGCGAGCATCGGCCCCTCGTCCTCGTCGTTACATCGGTCTCCTATGTTCGTAACACTCCCTTGACCACGTGACCCTTACCTATGGGCTACACTTGGGGATAATGTCAGCCCCATTTCGGGAACTACATGTTACGTGACGTCAGGCTGCGCGGACAGGTCCAGCCGCGGGGGAGGGGAAAAACGGGAGGTGATTGAGAACGCCGGAAAGGATTACCGCAAGCTTTGGCTACATCATATGTAAATGTAAATATACGTACATGAGTAGGTGCTGTGGTGTACTGAAAGCCCAAAACTACGCCACTTTCCCATTTATTTGTTATGAGCTCTACCTTTGCATTTCGGTTACGCCAACCCGCTATACGAGTTCCGGTACTTTGCAGACAAGGCTATAGCGACGCGCATGCGCAGTAGTGCTGTCCTCGTGTCGGAGGGCCTATAGCTGAGGGGTATGCGAATACGGTCCACGTAAACTCCCTATGGATTCAGTAACTCACGAACCGGTCACTCTCCCAATTTCTCCCTAAAAGGGAGTTCCAGGCCTCCCAGGAGCAGACGGAAAACCTGGAATTCCGGGAGTGCCGGGGATGAAGGGAGAACTTGGCAATCCCGGGGTACCGGTAAGGGGGTATATCTGTTCGCTATACGCCAGCTGTATATTGCTGGGCACCATGAATCTTGATGCATAAAACGTGGATACAGTGCTGTCCAATGCAATCACAGTAATTGAGGGGGGAAAAATAGACGGGTTATTATTTGTATTTTTTTTTTTCGGAAGCAAAGCTTTTTGGGGACACATTCGTACGACTTTAACTATTTTCCGCCCCACAATCCTTGGTTCCATTGCGATTATAGGGTGTGATATAAAAATTAATCCTCAACATTTTCGTTTCTTTTTTTTTTTTGGTATAGACTATCCTTTGAGTGGAACTCATTTCTTTATTTATTTATTAATTTTGTTCTTAGTTTGTATGATGTTCTAATTTCATCGACAAAGTAACTTACGCGGTCTCCACTGAGAGACTATAGAAAATAGAATATATATTTTCTTGTAGCCGTTCTAGAGTAGAGTGCATCCGCAATATATATATATATATATATATATATATATATATATAAGTTTGAAACAAATACTGTACCCGAAAATTACAGCCGTGGTACCCTCCCCGTAATATACAAAACACTAATAAGTAAAAAAAAAAAGATTTCTATATAACCTACATTTCAATTAATCAAGCTTCTGCTATAAAATCATCGTCATAACGAGCATAACATAGATTTCAATCAACCCTGAAACGAAAATGGCCCCTAACCCTATAATCGTCATAAAGAACTCTACGTTTCGTATAAGACTCCTCCCTAACCCAGAAACCCTGTACTAAATTGCGTATCAATAACTAACGACCTGCATAATCCTAAGAGCGGAACGCCGGTGGTGCCTAGGGACTACCGGGACTGGACGGACTACCAGGACTGCCGGGACCAACCGTAAGTTTACGTCGTCATCGCAAAACTTTAATTCCTTCGAACGTCTTTTTTTTTTCTTTTTGAGGCTAGTTTGAAATTATGACTATTTAAATCATCATAATGGGAAATGTTTTCTTGTGATCGCCGTTTCTTTGAGATCCACAGGGACCTGTGGGATCTAAAGGATCGACTGGAGCCCCCGGAATACCAGGAGCACCGGTGAGTCAGTTTTAATAGAGCCCGATTAAGTTCATATTACTATTTACCTGCAGTATTATACAGTAGCACCTAGTTACGGTCAAGATCTGCAATTTTTCGTTGTTGTTGCTGTTCAGTTATCATCGAGATGTTAACTGTTGTTTATTGGCTCACAGGGCTTGAAGGGTCAGAAGGGAGACAACGGAGTTCCTGGCGAACCTGGCGTACCGGTATAGTTCGAATTTTTTATCCGATATCTTGTATGTTATGACGTTCAAATTCGTTTCTCGCAATGACTTTAGCAGATTTGAAGCAAATAAAAAAAAGTGCGGAATTGGCACCGCGTACTACATGATCTCTTGTTCCAGGGGAGTCCTGGTACGATGGGGCCCAGGGGACCGCAAGGACTTCCTGGAACCGCTATTGTGGTACCGTATTGTTCGTTCAAACATTTTGGTGTGGGAATGTCCCGCGTGACATATCGTCAGCTATGAGTGCAGCGACACAGCACATTTCATTATAAAACTGTCGTTCACAAGACATTTGTTCCCTTTTACTACGGTAAGTTACATCTGAAGAAGGTAGGGCGAAGGAAAGAAAGGCTGAAAAGGAAGAAGCAGACGAAACGCTGGAGAGGAGAGGGGGAAAGCTTCTCCTCTTTCCAACGATCCGTCTGCTTCCTCCTCCCCGGCCCTTCCTTTCCCTCGCCCTAACTTCTTGAGTTGCAACGGACTATAATTTCTATAGACATTTTCTGTGTACTCTCGTCTCCAGCCACCTAATAGCCGTATCCGGTATGGGCGACGAAAAAATAATCCAACGTTTCAACCTGCAAATAGTAAAAAAATAAAGGGGATGCAAAGCGACAAAGTGTGACGTTTACGCTTATATCCTAAATGCCTTCTATTGGCGTGGCAAAGGCAAAACAATGTTTTCGCCCATACTGGAAGTGACGTCAATTCAAGATGGCGGCGCACTTGCAGAAAAGGTCTATAGACCGTTTTACTGAAAGAGGGCGAGAGAGAAAAGGGGAAAGGGCCACCGGCACTTTCCTCCTTTCTGATTGTGTAGAAAGAGTGAAAGTCCCGGATGAGAGGCTTCGCCGGTGTTGGGTGTCTGCTGTGCCCCAACTTCGTTCGCGCTTTCTTTCCTGTTTTAAACTCGCAAACTTAATTAGAGCCAGAGGCTTCGATGGCAACAGTCCCCCGGTCATCGGGACACCATTGCTGGGTCTTAGGGTGCAGGATAAAAACAGAAAGCATAGAATATTGTCCGAGGACATATGTAGCTTGCAAGGAACCCGGCAAGGCGAGAGCGGCTGCAATGTCTTTGAGCTCCATCGCTTTCCACATGACCCCTGTCTCCGGCGGCAGTGGATTGCGTCCGTAAACCGAAAAGGCGTTTCCTCAACGCCATCCTCTCGACTTCGCTCAAAACATTTCGTGAAAGGAGCGCGCACCGAACGCTGTACCGCCGATTAACATGGGGTACGCTCGCAATGTGCGTGCGAGCTTTCTCATGATAACTGCTGTTTCAGTTTGTAAAATTTCGTAACTGAATTTATCTTAATAGTGATAATTTGCAGTGCAGACTGACTCGATTTTATCATCTACAACACTTAGTTGAAGGCTCATTTCCGCCGCCGGTTGAGGCTGGAAATTGTTGAAAACGTAGTTCTATTGTTTGTTTGTTTGTTTTTTAATCGCGATCTCCTGCGCGATACCAGAGAGCCGGCAAAAGCGCTCCTTGAGGTGCCGCTGGTGGGTTGTTTCTGTTGACTAAGGCGCTTGATAGTCGCTGCAGGAACGTCTCGTGTGTTGCGATCTGCGTTTTCGAGCCCAGTGTGCACGTTTCTTTGTTTGAGTCATGGCATCCGCCAGTGTGGCGACGGGGGGAACAGCGGCAGCGAACGTGCCAGCGATAGAAATTGGAGGTGAGTACTCAAAATAATGCATCAAATAGTAAAATAATTCGTGGCGGCTTCGAGGCTTTCTGTGGTTCGATAAAAGTACATCTAGAGCGTCTTCGTCGTTCATTCACAAGGAGATATAAGAACAGGGACACGAAGATAAAAAAAGTGAAAGCCGTTTACAAATCCCTGTAACGCCGAATTGGAGCGCAGCTCTTGAGGAGGAGGAGTGAAGGGTACTGAGGGGAGGGTAGACCCCTCCTCCTTCTCCTCCTCCTCCCCTCATTCTTTAATATGCTCCCGGGGGGGGGGTCACGTGACCTCGGGGGGGGGGGGGGGTGTCACGTGACTTCAGGGAGGGGGGTCACGTGACCTCGGGGAGGCGTGACCTGGGGGTCACGTTACCTTGGGTGTCACAGGGGGGTCACCTCAAGGTCACGTGACCCCCAAGGTGACCCCCACGTGACCTCAGGGGGTCACGTGACCTGGAGGGGTCACGTGACCTGGAGGGGTCACGTGACCTGGAGGGGTCACGGGGTCACGTGACCTTGAGTTGACCTTGGGAGGGGTCACGTGACCTTCGGGAGGAGACCACGTGAACTCGGGGGTCACGTGACCTCAGAGGGGTCACGTGACCTCAGAGGGGTCACGTGACTTGGGGGTCACGTGGGGTCATCTTGGGGTCACGTGACCTTGAGATGACCTTGGGAGGGGTCACGTGATCCCAAGATGACCCTTACGTGACCCCCAAGGTCACGTGACCTTCAGGGGGTCACGTGGGGTCACGTGACCTTGAGATGACCTTGGGAGGGGTCACGTGACCTTGGGGGTCGCGAGACCTTGGGGGTCACGTGACCTTGGGATGACCTTGGTTACGCCGACGGCGACGGCGACGCCGCTCAAGCCGGGAACGGGCCCCTAAGAGCTGCGCTCTAAAACAGCACAGCAAGACGATATGTAGCAGCTCCGGGCGTTTACAAAGTTAATTGAGGTTCCCGTTTCGTGTATCGCTTGTTGATTACAACTAAAACCGGCTACGTTGAAATAGGCCCATTGCAAGCAAAAATGTATAAATGGTTCATCATTTCCAGTCATGCGGAAAGCAATGGAGCTTAAAAACATTCCAGCCGTACTTGCCTTGCCGGATTCCATGCAAGCTACATAGGCCCTCGGACAGTATTCGACGCTTTCTGTCCTTATTCGTGCACCCTATCACCCAGCAATGGTGTCCCGATGACCGGGGGACTGTCGCCATCGAAGACCATGGCTCTAATTAAGTTTGGGAGTTTGAAACGTAGAAGAAAGCGCGAACGAAGTTGGGGCACTGCAGACGCCCAACACCGGCCAAGCCTCTCATCCGGGACTTTCACTCTTTCTACACAATCAGAAAGGGGGAAAGCGCTGGTAGCCCTTTCCCCTTTTCTCTCTCGCTCTCAAAATGGCGCTACCCACGATAAAACGGTCTATGGACATAAATTTTTGCGCCAAGGCTCCAGATTTCCTCCCCAATGACACAAGTTACTTTGCAATGGCCGTCCTTTTGTACATTCCGTGTGTTCGACAGACAAACGAAAGACAAGCGTTCATTTTTTTTTTTTTTTCAACATGAAATGATGGGAGACGCAAGCGATTACGAGTAAATTGAAAGCGATTGTCATCACGGCAATTTTTCTCAATTTCGAGACCTGTAAACGTGATGCGTTTCTATTGACATATAATAGTGTACCATGAATCTTTGTTGTGAACACCACAAAAAATTGAATATTATAACATAAAATTTGTAAGTGAGGCAATTACTGCGAAAAAACGAATTGAATTTATGATATGGCTTATAACTTGTTTCCATACTGAATCGATGTAATGTACGTAAGCGCTTTAATTTCGGGCTTTCTGAGTAACTATTTGTAAAGATGCTCTATCACGTACATGAAATTTAACTCAGATCCAATTTAAATTTATTTCTGAAACCCCGTTTCACCTTTAGACTTGGGGAGCAATATTTTGGTACAGCAACGCACAGTATAACATGCATGCAATAGGGCTTTTTTTTTTTCTTTCTCGAGTTGATAAAAACTGCTATACCATCGCCATAGTCCTCCGGCATGCCCACGCTTCCACAAATTATCTCCTTTTGAATGAATATATTTGTCTGTTTCATGCTGGGCTGACTCCCCCATGCCCTCCAGACCGAAGGTTCCATAGGACCTCCCGGAGAAGTCGGACCACCGGGGCCCATGGTAAGTTTACCGTTGAACTCAACAGACTCTCGACAACCTATTCCGGGTGATGATCCACTAAAGACTCAATGTCAAGTTTTAGTACAGCGCCCGTAAAGCAGTTCCGTACTCTCGAATAATAGATGTTGCGCACGAAACCCATGACAACAGTATTTTCAGCGTACGCAACTAATTTGCAGTACTCATGTACTAAAACCTTATAATACTGATTACTTTCTCGTGTCTCTACTAAACTAAGGCGTATACTTATTTGTGATTTTAGGTTGTGCAAAGTTTTGCAGACGTCTGTAGGTACCAACACAGCTTGTGCTGACTTAACGCAGTCTCTTCTAATCATCTTCTTATAGTTCAGTAGAACGTGTTTTATTTTGAATATTTTAGAACTTTTTTTCTGGTACCGTAATTTCTCGCGTCTGTCGAGCTCAAAGCGACGTACCACTATGCTTGTAGAAAATGAGGCAGATGAGGAGGCGAGAACGCGCAGGACACGCCAGAACACCTATGTCTGGTTGGAATGATTAGCAGGTAGAGGCCAAGCTATAGTTAAATGTATCTCTGCTCACTCCACGAACGCGTTCGAATGCGAACGCCGAACGCCAGACGCGGGTGTTCGGCATTCAAACGCGTTCGAAGAGAGAGGAGAGACAAAGGCAGCTATGCGGATCGCAAGTTCGTCTGCTTCTTGCCCAGGAGTCGCGGTAAAAACTTCGAGGCATTTAGCATTGAGATCTACCCACTATATTTTCGATCAAAGCCAATCAGAGCTGCGGTGACGTCGTTCTGACGTCACCACAACTCCTGCGCAAGAAACAGACGAACTTACCCCGCATAACTTTGCGTCTACCCTCTAATCGTTCCAACCAGAGCCTTGCGCTCTGACGTTACTGGGCGCTCTCGTCTCCTCCTCGTCTCCCTCAGTTTCTACGCGCATAGTCACTGGCAGATGAATGGAACGCAGGGCGCGACGGATCCCGAACATCTCGTTATCGTACTGCAGCCAATCATAATGCGGTATTAGACTACGAGAACGGCTGAAAAACAAATCAGAAACCGCGAAGCGTGAAAAAAAAAAAAAGTTACACTTCGCGGTTTTTTAGTTTTTAGCGCCTATAGAGCTACGACACCGATGACCGGAGTGCGTCGTACACAGTAATAGACCGTTTCCAAAAGTCCGTGGAGCAACATCGGCGGTCGCCGTTGGTTGGGCACGGAGCGCGTGGTTGGCTCAGAGCCCTCGCCGACAGTTGACGCAGCCCTCGCGTCCAATAGGAGCACATAGCACGTAATCAAGCAATGGAGGACAGGCAATGGCGCGGACTTGCGAAAGTGGTGTCTATTCGCGCGTTATTGCTTAAACGCTATTTTGGAACGTCAAAAAAAAAAAAGAAATATATATACATATTTATATGTTTCAAACTTTTTTTTTTTTTTTTGTAGGGTGAACAGGGCCTGCAGGGGCTACCTGGACCAGTGGGTCCCCCAGGAAGCAAGGTGCTGTTTCCTTTATTTCTAACCATTATTTTAGAGTCGCAAGGTGTAGTTGTTGTTGTTATTTGCGTTATGAAAGTTTTGTGCGCGGTATACAGGAAAAAAAAAAAGTATTGCAAATCGCTGGGCAATCATATTGCATACGTGAAGCCATCTTGCTTCACGAACGTTTAGCGGTACTCTGAGTTTCGCAGACGCCAGACAACTACGTTCACGGTGTTCTTCATCAGATAGTTTAACGTGCATTACGTGTACCCCTGATAGTGGTTCCTGGAATGAAGCGATACTACCGCTAATTGGGCTGACAAACATGGCGATCTTCCGGAGCCTTCGATAATCTCCAGCTCATCTCCCTCAGTGCCCACAGTTGATCGAGCTCCTTCTCGCCTTTACCTCACTCCTTCTCGCCTAGCCCTCTGGTCACATACCTCCCCGTTCACCAATCAGCGTCGAACCTTCCACTCTACCTCTCCCACTTGTCAGCCAATCAGTGTCGAGCCTCGCGGCCACGCTTTTATTCGGGCCTCACTTTTGGGCTTCACGAAATGCTGAACATTTACTCAAAGAACATTTCACGTTAAAATAGGCGTCGTACGCCATAGTTGAATGTAAAATGCGCGCGCTTTTACGCGACCATATCTTCCAAATTCTAGAACTCTCTTTTGCAATGGTTTATGACTAAGAGTATCCCCAAAAGGCCGGGATTTGTAGTTTCGTTAACGTAATGGTACCAGACTTGATTCCGGCGGTTTCAAATAAGGTGCTAAAAAATGCTGTCATAAATAAGGGAACATAAATGTGCAATAAAGTTTTGCATTGACCGAAATTCAGTGTATGTTTTAAATAGTTACCGGTGGCTGCGATTAAGTTCATTTTTTCATAAAATCTTAAGATTCTTCAGTCTTGTCAGGTCTTCGATCACACGATATTGGCTTGTGATAAAAGCCACCATCGAAGAAGACCGGGTTATGCGTATTAAAGATGGAAACTGCGGTGTCTAGTTCGCGTCCCCGACTGGAGCGTTTATGTCGACCCATTCCACCCATGCCTTGAAAGTGGTCTCGAAGAGGCGACAAATGACGTCGCAGACGCCGGAGGGTCGTGCTGCCGGATGACGCGATCCTGGCGGTCGGTTGTAGAAGTTCCGGAAAAAAAGCATGTCGTTGCCGTCGCGGCGTCCCAACTCCTGGCTGCCGAAGCTTCCGTGGTCTGTCACATGCCGGAAAGCGAACTGCAGCAGAACGGGCGTCTGCCACATACACCACAGCTGCTGTGACGCCGCCAGGATCGCGGTCGGCGACAGCGCGACACTCGTGTGACGTCATCAGGTGTAAATCGAGGAACCACTTCTTGGGACGCGGTAAACACAGCAGTTGGAAACGCGTTCACGGCACAATATGATAGAAACATACAAAATATGTGGTAATCGAGAATAATGGGTCAGTACCTAGTTGTGTAACGTTAAAACATTCTTAAGTATATAACGCGCTTATGAGTGGAACCTAAACCTTAAGAAATACATACAAAATTAAATGTTACCTGTAACTTAGCTGCCACAAGCAATTAGCTCCGAGAAAAAAAAAGTTATAAAAAGATGTGTAACATATACATCTAAACTTTTAGGGCGAACCCGGCGAAAGAGGAGTCACGGGGAAGACGGGCCCCCGTGGTCTTACGGTGAGCACAGTCTTACAGTAAGCATGGTCTCGCGGTAAGTATAGTCTCCCCTTGAGCATTGTCTTGCGGTAAGCATGGGCCTATGATATAAGCGTGGTCCCCTGGTACAGACACGATCCTATGAAATAGACCTGGTCTTATGGTATAGTCATGGTTTTACGATAAGTGTGTTCAAGGTAAGGGTGACTTACGTTGGATAAGCTTCAGGACTGTGAGGTTTTGTACAAGCTTCACGTGTCCAAGAGCGTGCTGTTCTTATGTATGCAATGTATGCGAAATGTAAAATATATTAGACAAAACCTTGTAATGAATTCGATGAACACATGTGCGGTCATTTTGAGAAGTTTGTTCTCGCGGGGCCTGATGAAAAGGTTAGAATGGTCCCAAATGTTTTGGTTGACAAATTCTGTGTTATCGCAACCGGGGATCCCACGATCTATAATTTCCGTAACAAAAGCAAAAAAAGAAAAAAGAGGATATTATGGAAAATGAAAGGTTAACTCAAAATTAATATGTACCAACACAAAATTATTGTCCTGTTGATTTTTGTGGACAAGGAGAAAACGTTTCTTGGGGTTCAGCAATATCTTCCTGCAAAGCGCTCGGTCTTCGCGCTCTATTTATTTGCCGAACAACGTCAGACAGTTTTTTTTCAAGCGCAAACTAGGCTTTGTAATCACGTTGCGTTCCGGTAATGAACTTGGTTTCGAAAAAAAATGCCAAGTGTTTGCCAGAAAAGAGAACCCTGTTTTTCCTACTGACAAAACAAATTACGAATCACCGTACCTCAGCCTCGTTCCAAATCTATAGAGCTAGGGGCTGTGACCCAATGCCGAGGTTTCAGAACTTACCGTTATCTAAATCGGAAGATATATAAAGGGATTTTCAAAAAATGTTCAATGAAAAGATGGCGACCAACGGAGCGCACATATACATGGAGACGAATGGCAAACACTATACCGGTAATACTCCTTATTATCTCATGGAAAATGTTCTGAAAACCGTTGATAGTCATTAAATTTAATAACGGTATAGCTTCTGAAACTTTTACACCTGGTTCGGACCAGGTGTAAAAGTAAAAGATATATATAGTGCAACACCTTGGCGGAGATTCAGGGTTCGGCAATGCGCTATGTGTATTCTTGCAGTGAGAGAAGCACGGTTCTGGTTCTCTTCCCAACGCTAGGTGCCTCTCATTGTTCTCTCACGGACAGCCACAATATGTAGAAATCAGGTCTTATTTTCTCCTAGACATCATATTTGCCTTGTGCAAATGATCGTCATATATAAAAAAAAAACTGTTTACGACGAAATTGAGTCAGGCTTATCTACCGCCACCTACTTTATATTCTTAGTTTTATGACATGATAGTTTCCGTTGTTTTGTTTAAGTTTCGTTGTTTTGAATCAGCTTTTAATATTTTTGGTCAAACGCATTGTCCTCTAATTAGGCTCATTTAACGTCGCGTTTAACAGATATTGATATACAGGGTATTCCACGGAACTTCAGTCGAGATTTAAAATATGTTGGTGCATTTTAAGAAGACGGAAGCAAATAAATTTTTTTTTTTTTTTTTTTTGGAGCAGGTCAGGCTTTTTGTTTTTGTATTTTGCCCGATTAACTAAATAATTAAGATTAATTATATAAATCTTGAAATATATAGTTTATAATAACAATTTTTATGACGAAGCTGTAGAGCTTCCTCAGAAGCATTCAATTCAGTAGTTTTTATTAAAAAAACATAACACCTTTTTTGTGTGTGGACTTCGAAAAAAGTTTGCGAATTATGAAAAAAACGAGTGACTCCCCATGTGCACCTTGTATTCCAGTACTCTCAGCCGTGGCTTGAATAAACTAGGCCTGCCTGTTGAATAGTACACTGTTGACTGGGCGCTGTCAATAAATTCGCGTTTTTTTTTTTTTTTTCATAATTTAGGCACTTTTTTGAAGCCCGGAAAAACGAAGCGTGTTAGAGGTTTCTTGATAAAAACACTGTAATAGTTATTTCCGAGGCCGCTCTACAACTTGGTCATTGGAACTTGTGCTCTAAATTGAATTGTAGAAATAAATGAACTGCGCAAAGGACGAGGACAGAGGTAGAAACGACTACGACACACGGAGCGCAGTTCATTTATTTTTACAAATCATGAACCTACTAGCCCGCCAAAAGTGTTACTTCTAAATTTAATATTTCATAAAGCATTAATCCTAATTAATTAGATAATTGAGAAAAATACAAAAAATAGCCTGATTTGCTTCAAACAATAAACAAACTTATTCGTTTGATTTCGTCTTCATAAACGTTCCCAAAATATTTTAAACCTTGGCTCAAGTTATATATATTTGTTGAAAACGTGTAGACACTGGCGATGCACTGGGTCATCAATCCTTGCTTGCTTGTCATTATTATTTTCCCGCACCAGGGAGAGCCTGGTCCAAGAGGACTGCAAGGAGAGCAAGGCATACGAGGTCCTGCAGTGAGTGCTCATTTGTTGGCTTCTGGTCACACGTTCCTTGTAAAGACCGGTGGGCACATAAACGCAATAGACGTGCTGACAGCCTGAAGAGTTGATTCATTTGAGAAGCGCTTAAGCCTATGCCTATGAGATCGTTTGCTTCATTGCAAACGAAAAGGTTACGGACAAAAATGTTCACTAATTATATTTTTGAATAATGCTTATTTATTCAGAAAGCTGAAAATCTGTAAAAGAAAGCATGAATAAAACGCTTCGAAGTGCCTGAAAGGTCCGTGATCAAAGTGAATAAGTTGTAAAAAAAATTTTAGCGACTTGTAGCTTCAAAGTACTACAATGCATGAATGGCAATATTTAAGGTGCAATTGTTTAAAATTGTTTAGAGGGCATTAAACCGTCGCTTCTGGGGTCGGAGTTGGAACCTTTATTTTTACCAGTTCCCCGCTGCATTGAGCGGTAAAGCTTGGTGCATCCGTCTCGTGACATCAATTTCTCCATCGACCTTGGCGAAGAATCTTGATTGGTGTGATATAAATTGTGACACGTGACATAAATTGTCGTCACGTACCCTAAGAACGAATTCAGTTTTCCTTCTAAATTTAGCGGGAAATTCACGAACTGACGCACAGACCAACGAAAAAAGTTTTGGAATAGGGGGTTCTATGAAAAAAAAACATTTTATGCTTTAATAATAAATGGATGAAATAAAATATATATTGTAGCATCACATCTTAGGATTCATTGGTTAATTATTGCCCTATATTTTTTTTTTTAATTTTAATTCAAGCTATAAACGTTTTTTTTTTTTTTCATTGCAAGAAAACGGCACGAATATACGAAAAAATTTAAGCGTAAAGAGTTTGTATCACAGCTATGAGGTTAATCATGAGTAAACTCATGGCATTGTTTTACGTGTATGTAGTCGACTAGATGACCACACTTGCAGTTAGATAAAAGATCTGCAGATCGGAGGTAAATTCGGTGATTGACCATTTATGTTAATGTTTTTGCTCATCTGATTGCTTTACTAAATATAATTTTACTAGAAAACATTTTTTGGTGAAAAAAAAAAGTATTTACTAAAAAAAAAAAAGCAGCGAGCCAACTTGGAATGCAACTAACTTACGTAATCGTGATGCAACTAACTTACGTAACCGAACCAATTTACTAAATACGAGGCAGTATACCGTATCAGCTGATCGGTTTTTAAATTGACTACTTCTGATCACGTGTAGTTTAGAATGAGCCGTTAATTTTGCACTTTTTGATACTATTCCCAGGGTCCTCCTGGGCGCGATGGTATTCCAGGAACCACCTCAGAAACGTCTACATCTCCCGTAAGTCTGCATATTCTTAGTCTGAGTTGAGCTTTATAGGCTGTATTGCTTTATTTGAGTAAGCTGTACAAGTCTAAATTCATTACATTATTATTGTTGTTTTTTATTTAATTATTAGGGCGTACCGGGACTTCCGGGAATACCAGGAGAGACCGGACCTCAAGGTCCTCCCGTAAGTACGGCGGAGCCCCATAATAATTAGTACCTCACAATTAATTGACAAAATAAGTTTAAAAAATAATCAGCGCGTGTGAGGTGCAATTTATTAGAGCACGGTTAGGACACATCGAGCCAAACAATTATTTCCATTGTAGTAAAATTAATAATGAGCACCAGTGAGTTGTAATGCGGCTTTTTATGTTATTGTGCATGTTTATCATTATTATACTGTTGTGTAACCGATTTCTTAAGTTTGTAGGCATCGTCCTTGCAGTGTTCTATAAAATGGTGTAACATATATATTTTTATGCTATTGGTGTAGGGTGCATATGAATGCTAACGTGTATGCAATGTTCATTGTTCCACATCTCTCTGCTACCTGTGTATGTTTTGTATATATGCCTACGTTTGCATTGTTCATTGCCCCCGATCACACATGTCTGGATCCTCAATGTACCTACAATATTAATGAATAAATAAATGAATGAATGTTTTGACCTATCGTGATTACTCTAGGAATGATCATTAAGCTATCTTAATTTTGAAAACAGTTGATCTTTTTTTGATAAAGCTGGATTTTTACTTATTATCGATGTGCACTGCGTGACACTGTTAGCGTGAATACGACATGGGAGCTCTTTTCGTACTTCACTAATACATGTAATTAACGAACATGAAATTTCACCGCTTAATGACTGTTTTTTTATTTTAAAATGACAACAGAAAAACACTGGCGATCGCTTATTCGCGCTAACGGTGCCGCACTGGCTTGCTGGCTTCTCAGCAAAACAGGAGACATTTGCTTAGATGCTGATACATATTGTATCTGTTAACTCCTTGTCTTCAGGGAGAAAAGGGGAGTCGAGGACCGCCGGGCATTCAAGGAATTGAAGGAGAAAAGGTGATCTTAACGCAGATATGCTGTTTGTTTTATCATATTTTACTTTTGTTTTTGTTAGCGTTTGAGATGGTACTGATGGTGACAATTGTGTTTTGCGAAATATTGATTATCTTCGTAAGAATTCACTACCATTCGATTTCTGTCTACATAACCCGGCGATCTATCTACGTATAGCTACCAACGCTGAACAGATTATAAAGAAATACTATACCCAACAATCAAAGCTAGCATATTTCCACTCAATCTGAAAATTCAAACCTGTTAGGTTAGAAAGCTGATTTGCTCGGTCATTCTTTAACCTGGGCGGTTTGCGTATCTATCAGAAGGTCACTTGATCTGGATAACTATTTATCTCACAATGTAATATATCTGTCAGGATTAGCGATGATGATAACGCAGACTTTCATTTCTCACCGATTCCAAGCATTCGTCATTTTGGTTCTAAGGACAGCCAGCAAAAAAAAAAACAATTATCTAATTTTTCCCCCTTTCTTTTTTTCCTACAGGGAGTTAAAGGCGACCGCGGCATCACTGGACTTCCCGGACCAACTGGACCGAAGGTATGTCATAAAGCTTTATAGTCTGTTTCACCACGACCGTCATAAAGCTTTAGTGTATTTCACCAACGACCATACATAAAGAGAAGACTCCTTGCAGGTAACGTTATCGAAAGCGGTGGTCGTCAAGGAGGAAGTGTAAATTTATCATTAGCAAATTGTTTACCTAAAACTAACTAATTAATTTTTGAAATGTTTTGCCTTAACCGGCACATTCGAATTAAATATTGTTGCCCGTCGGTGCAATAGGTCATAGCTGTTAGAATTCAGACAACTAGAATCTGCTGAGCGTTATTTTCTGGCGACGCTATAGGCTATCTGGAGTCTTGGAAAAGCGCCGAAAGCAGCGCGCCCGAGTGGACAGCAGAGCGCGGCGCGTTTTCTACGACCACCTGATTCTATCGGTCTGCGTTGACCTGACACCCGCGCCAACCCGCGCACGCTGCGGCGGCTGACGTCACTTCCGGTTGGGACATCAGCCTCTTCAGGGCTTAAATAGGCCAATGAATAGCGCGGACCGGAATTTAGGTTTTTAAACGGGACTTTAGATAACTGATTTGTAGATTTTACTTGACATTCGTAACCTTACGTCTTTCGCGGTCGATAACGTTATTCCGATGAAATTATATTGTTTCATTCTTTAAGTGCCCTTTGATAATACTTCCCATTCGCTCCTTGTCTAGGGTTTAGGGTGTTACCAATAAACCGAAAACGGTTTATTGGTAGATTCCCGTGCTGCTTAACTAAGTTAAGCAGCACGGGATTCTACCAATAAACCATTTTCGAAAGTACGCTAGTCCACTCGCGGCTCCAGGATGCGTACTAAAAAAAAGCATGTAAAGTTAAAAAAACAAAAACAAAAAAAACCTTGCCTGTTTTGGAACACCGATTGGCGCGTTTTTCAGGACGTCACATCCCCTGGTTACGGGGGGAAAGGGGGGGGGGGGTGGGTGGAGAGAAGAAGGGGGGTACCTAGAGGAAATGGTTCCGTAGTCGCTATTTTGCGCATGCGCTTTGACCATGCATTGGATAAGAGTGTTACGTCAGTGTTCGCTGCGAACTCAGATCCCATCACGTGCTTCGTGTAGGAAGCGAAGCCCGAAAGATGGCGGCCGCGAGTGTTGCTCGATGAACTTGTAAACAATAGTCTATTGTCATCGGAAACGTTTCAACGATGAGTTAATAAGCTAAACAAGAGTCACATCCTTGCAGGGAGACCGAGGAGAGAGAGGGTACCAAGGTGACTCGGGGCCAAAGGGTGACAGGGTAAGTCTCGCGGCAAATCAAGTCAAGCATACCCGATGTAAAGTACACAATCATTCAGATATATAAAAAAAAGAAAATGCAGAGCACTACTGGTAGGAAGCAATATCATATTTCAATCAAAGAAAAAAAAAACTTTCAGCCTTTCCACTCTGGTGAAGAAGGAAGACCAGCGAAGCTGTACTATGGTGGGAATGAAGTAGTGGCTGGCCGCAATTCGGCAAGCCAGAGTGGAAAGGCTGCTGCCATCTATGAGCGACAGGGGCAACCAGACAACCGGCAGGCCGGTTTTCTGGTTGCCGCCGTCGTTAACAGACGGAGGTAGCTGTCCAGACTTTTGTGTCGAGATTTGTTTGCCCACGGACATGACACTGGGAAAACTAACCCTTTACAAATTCAGAGAAAAAAAAAACGTGTAAAGTTTTTTTTTTTTTGGTTTTGAAGCACTTGGGGTGTTTTGCGCTCTCTTTACATTCACATATTCAATCATTTTTTTATACTGAGCATTTCCTATTGTTTGTCGTTATTAATCTATTTTCATAGTATCGTGGAAGCCGATCACTATGTTTGAGTTTGAAGCTTTCAGCTGAAGGCATTTGTTTTCTGTCTATTTGTGTACGTATGTGAACTGTAAAGGGACCAATGCCTCGTAAGCTTCTTAGCCTTTTGCACCGGCCCCTCTATCGGACCCTGTCAGAAAGAAGACAATACAAAAAATAAATAAATAAAGTAACAATTTCTCCCCCTCTTCCCTAAAGAAACACACACACAAAAAAAACTCATAATATTCGCAAACTTTGTTCCTTTGCGCAGGGCCCCTCCGGAGTTGATGGTAGCAGAGGTGAACCCGGACTCATCGGCCTCCCTGTAAAAAGCCAGTTATTTCTCCACGTATTTAAAATTGTAATGATGGAATGCTTTTATTATTAATAATTTTCGAATGGCGTGTGAAAAAAAAAAGTGTTAACCCAGATATGCCTTGTTTTTCTTTTCAGCCATAACAACGTGCAAAAACTTTTAAAGTGCTTCGTAACGCGACATAAATTTTCTTACTCTTGTATCGGCACGACGCGTGGCCTAAAATCGAACCTAAAAGAGCGGAAGAAATTAATAATATTGAACATAGCTGCCTTATTTATAAAAATGGTCGCCAAAACGAAGGTATTGTTGCATTACTGAGCGATACCATGAAACTGACGGCGCCAATGTGCTTACATTGGTGTGAGCTTGAGTCGTGCTATATGTGCTCATGTGCTGTTCAGGCACCATTGTTCACATGAACTAAAACTAAGAGCTCAAAGGAACTGTTGTAAATTGAACATAATGATAAAAACACCCGAAACTGAGACAAGAGATGGACATCACAAACACAAAGTTTGAAACTTTGTGTTTGTAATTATGTAATTGTTCAATTAGTGACGTCACGTCTGCGGCAGCGACCTAAAAGACGCATCATAAACTGGATGTCATAACATGTAGTAAGTTTACAAATGAAAAAAAAAAAAGAAACAAATCTCTCAGGTTGTAAAAAAATATTGTCATAACTTATATGGTGATCTAAGTACTGATTGTTATAAAACACGCGGTCTTTAAGGAATAGCCACCTTTGTTTTGGGTTTTGCATGAAGTCCTAAGATATCATTGTAAACAGGGTCCCACCGGCAAAGACGGATCGTCAGGATTGTCGGGCCAGAAGGGTGAAAAAGTATGTTTCGTTTTTGTACCATATATTAGATCTTCGGGTTCTTGTGCGGGGCATTTATGGGATATTGCCTTACCATTATTTCACTCCAGACATATAGACTATACTTCATAAATTCCAAATAATGTATTTAATTCGCTAACTATTTGTTGTTATGATATTTGATGAAGAGCCACCTGCGTAATATTTTTGTTATTTATTTGTGCTGCTGCGCTTTTGTAACTCGTGGTTCTTGCGTAAGGGAGGAAGCCATTTACGTCCTACACGTTGAATCACTGTTGGTTTAATTAGCTGCAAGAAAGCAGTTTTGGCGGGCAATATAGCATCATATGCGTTAAAATAAGTTCTTCCCTCCCCCCTCCCCCGGGTTAATGGCGGCACAAAATATTATTGGTGCGGTATGTGCCATTCGATTCTACCATTCAGTCAAGTGCATTTTAGATAAACACCTCCGTTTTCCAACGCGTCTTCGCTAAAGATGAACTGGCATTAACAAGCATAAAGTCAACCACGAAACTAAAGAAAGATACAGGAATTTTTAATTAAACTTGAGGAAGAAAATTATCCATACCAACCCGCTCGTTCTTTCCTTATACAAGAATCCGCATGCTACATTTTATAATAATAATAATAATGTTAGCTTCACCGCCCGCTTTTTAAACCATGGGATCGTGCCTCTTTATTTGGCTTCGTGGCTCCTGGTATAATATAAAGGATTCCTTACCGTGAAATATCGCAGTTCTAATAAAAATATGCTGACTCATCTCAGGGCGAGCAGGGAGAGGTCGGCAAACCAGGAGACGTGGCCTACCCAGGAGAACAGGTGAGAATTCGTCGTCTGATGCATCGGTGATCTATTTCAAACTTTTGTGAAGTAGAAAAGTTACCGAGGATTACATCCAGTGCCAAGTTACATGTTGTAGAGGCCTATGAAAATCCTTAATTTGTACGTGCTCGGTTATACTTACCGAGCTCCGTCGGCATCAGAACCACTCGCCAAGTTTGTATGTTTTATCATCACAAAAAAAAAAGGCTCAATAACAAGCAGTGAGAGAGTGCAGGCGAGCTGGTAAACAGTCGACATCTTGTAAACCCTGAGATTTTGTTGTGTTCGTCCGTTTTTTTATCGTTCCCCATCTCAGGGTTTACAAGATGTCAATAACAATTTGCTTGCATGAAAAAAAAGAAAAAACAGAAACTAGCGGACGTTGTTTACTAGGTGGGCGGAACGCGGTTTACCGGAAGTAAAAAAAGGCGTTTCATGAAGCCACCTTGTACAGAAGTTCTTCCTCTTAAAATTGCAGGGTCCGCCAGGCGTCGCTGGTCCTAAAGGAGAGCCTGGAGCTGACGGTCGGATGGTGAGATAATTGACCTCGTCTCGGTTTCTAAACATGTCGGAGTTGCGTTTTTTTAACCGTTACTCGTGACGGCTAGTTTGCTTACCATTACACCCAATGGCTCTATTTCTGTTTCTCACTCGCCAAAATGTGTTTTATCATTAGGGTATCATGGGACCTCTGGGTCCCAGAGGATTCCCCGGACCTCCAGGACTGCCTGTAAGTTGTAAAATTTTAACAGCGATATTCTTCGCTCGTGACCGTTACAACAGCTAGCACCTTTCCGGTGTTTGTATCGTCCAGGCGAAAAATGCCGACTCACTTAGCCGTGGATGCATAAGCATGCGTCTGATCTTCCGCCGAGGACGGCTGCTGGGCAAGTTCGGAATGCGTTCCACAGCAGACAAGGAGACTAGCAATGCTTGGATATCGGGCTAGTTGGTTTGACACTCTGGGGTATACTGCGCTGCGAAGTTGTACTTAACCTATAAAGACGTAAACTATGAGATGATGTGAAAGACAGTTAAGAACATACTTGTGAAAGCTCGGCTGAACGTGACGTACTTGTGAAAGCGGAGCTTTCACAAGTATGTTCTTAACTGTCTTTCACATCATCTCATAGTTTACGTCTTTATGGGTTAAGTGTAACTTCGCAGTGCAGTATACCTCAGAATAGACAAGGAGGGCAGCGTGAAGAAGGCGATGATTGGAATCGATGGAAGATAAAAAAAGAAATGCATGTGACAGGCCGCAGTATATATATTTGGGAGTGGCCATTACGGGTACTACTTTTCCAGGAATACCATAAAATGCTGCACGCGCCTTGGACCCTCTAAAGTTGACTAATTTAGTGGGTTTCGACCATCATTCAGCAAGTTCCAAATTGAAACAAAGCTTTTATTTTACATAAAAATAATCTACTTGAAAACTCCTTTTGTGTGTCTGTGTGTGTGTTTGTGTGTGTGAAACGCTGTAGATCCCATAAACTGACCGATTAGCAGTAAATAAAAAGGTATGCTTGTTTTTTGTTTTTTTTTGCTTTTTTCGACGCGTAGTTATTACAGGAAACGTTTGGTAGCAATCAGTATACAACTATACAATATACAAGGAAACAGTCTGTGTATTAATAGGCAAACTGAGAGATCTCATTTCAACTAAACCATACATAATACTTACGCTGTTATGAAGATGTATGCGGTCCATTCGTAATCAACGTTCTGAATATAAACATTTCACTGAAACCTCGTTTCTGCCAGTTCAGTATTTAATACAAATTTCGACTTTTTTTTTTGTTTCAACAGGGACCCCCAGGGAAAGCAGGAGTACGGGGAGAGCAAGGCGCCGAGGTGCTTCTTTTTGTGTCTTTTTTGTTTTGTTGACTGTGCTTATTTCATATATTTCTTTGTTTGCGATACTTGCATATGCAGTCAATCCAAATCAAGCCACTGGCAGCTTAAGGGCGTGGCTTACCATGGGTATGATCACTGAAACGCGGGACGTGGCGAGTTTCAAGCATCTCATTATCGCTCCTCAGTTAATGAGATTCCAGCATTAGAAAATGAGAACGCAGAAAGACGATTCACGAAGCGAGGAACATTAATCTGTGTATTATAATTCGTTCATTTTTCACTCTGTTTAGAAGTCTTAACTGTACGAGCGGCCATCCGCACCAATCTCGTCCTTGTAACTCGTCACGTGACTAAGGGTGTCGCGAACTTTTGTCGAACCTGTGGGTCGACTGGTTAGGCGAATCTTCGACCTTTTAACGAAATTCGACCAAGCTTGACTTGTGTACAGTGTTGCCATACTTCTACAGAAAATGTTCGAGTATTGGGAAACTTTAGTTTATAAAGTAGCTGTTTAATATTTCTACAATAGTCACCAATCTTTTCAAGATAAAATTTTAAACATGTGTACCTTTTAATGTTTAAGTTTGTTTCGTAATGTGCGGCAATAAAACAATAAGCGTAACAAATATTGCGCTTCTCCTCCGCCAGGTGGAATCAGCTCGTTTTCAATTTTGCGCACGTGCACAAAAAGTCGAACTTCAGTCGAACTTTCGTTGAACTTGTCCATAGAAGTTCGAAAAAGTCGAAACTGCATATTCTGACACGTGACAGGATATCCAGGTTTGACTGTGTTCACGCGGAGCGATGTCACATGACGCTTAAGAGGCTCGGGATTGGTGGAGCCGGCTCGTTGCTTTCGTCCGCAATCAATGGAAAGTTCGCGAATAAACCAAAGATAACATTTATGGATGTTTGGACACTGCAATGGGTTGAACCGCAACCTCCATTCGTTAATACGCTCGCATATTTTAAACGCCCCTAAACAATTAAAACTGCGGCATCGCAACATTACGGTATACTGTTATCTAGTCTACGGGCTGTTTACGTATGAATTTAATCCAATCGCTCTATAATTTAACTCGTGCGAATAAACGTTTTTGAGAATGCTTTTTATAAGATTCTTCTGGGAATAAATGAGTAACATCTCGATGTTACTCGTCGCATCCTAGAGTGGAATTTACTCGATGTTCCGATTTCAATAAAGTGGTGTTCTTCCCGACAAATTCAGGGACCTAGGGGTGCCAAAGGAGACATCGGGCCGCAAGGGCTCGAAGGACCATCCGTAAACTATTCTTTAAATGAGCTTAACCCAGCTTAGCCTAAACTAACCAGCGACCGTTTTACCGCGTTCTTACTAACCTACCAAGTTCGTCCCCATATCTAGAGAAAATAGCGCCGAAATAATACCGGGACCAAGGCAACAGCGACAACACAAGACACCTTGTCTTGTCCCTCTTGCCTTGGTCTTCGTGTTACTTCGGCGCTGTTTTCCTTTGCTATGAACCAACTGTCCCAAATTACCACCTTATTTCCTCCGCATGGTTTTTTATATATCAATTCATCTCACTTTGCACATGATGGATATGTTGACTATCTCAATTAACTTTCGTTTGAACTTGCATGCCAACGATAAAACTAAATAAGCCGTAGATTTCGGGAAACTTAAAACTTTGAAAAAATTTAAACAAAACCAGCTGATATGATATGTAATCATTGTTTACTGAACAGTAATAATGTTCTATATCTTTATTACATATTGCGAGCAAAACTAACAAAATTGCAGTTATATTCTGAGGAAATCTACTTTCACAAACTAATTAAAATGCGGTTTTACAATATATTTTGGAGTCACTTTCGAGGTTTAAAAAGATAACAAAGATTAAACCAAAGTAAAAAAAAAAAAAAGTCGCCATGCGTTATTTTATTTCCTTGTAATTCGCGTTGCTTTTGGTGTTCTTTTTTTTTACATTTTTAAACTATGTACCAACCAGCCCATTAACCACTTTGACACCTTTGAAGCCACTAAATCTGTATATCTGAATAATAAAATATATCTGCTTGTTTTGTCTAATAAAAAGGAAGCAAGAACAAATGCTTTCAATTTTGTTGACTGCGACTGATACACTCTCTGCATGTGAATCTTGCGGAACAGATTCTAACATGACAACAACATTCGGGCTCGAGCCCCTTGAGCTCCTCTGCATGACGCATCCACTTTCAAGATAAGATAACCTGCACAGCACAACGTGAAGGTTTGCAACCCAACACATGCATATTCGTTGCCTGGGAATCCGTGCAAGGCAGGCGTTACACGAAGAAACTCTCAAGATGCCACCTGCCAGAACCTCTTCAGCGGAATGATCTATAACCGCCAGGCTTTTGGAAACATGGCTGCCTATAACTAAAAAAACTAAACGCTTCGCACTTATGAAGAGAAGGCTATGTTGGGAAGTACTTCTGCTGCCCAAACGTTGGAACCGTTGTCCTCAGGGTGAGGTTGGCCCTCAAGGACGAGAAGGATCGACCGGAAAACCAGGTCCTAAAGTAAGACCCTGAGTCTTAAACCTAAACCAACTTGTTTTTTTTATCGTTCTTCTAACTGCTTTTACATGGGCAACTTTGGCGAAATTGAATTAGGTTGTAGATGGATACATGAGTAGATGTTGTGGAAACCTATGCTCCATGCGCCTGGGTTAGTGACTTCATTGGGTGTGGATTAAATAAATGGATTGACGGGTGATCGATGAAAGCCCTTCAAAATCGCCATATTGTGTTTAACTGAACTTTTTTTTTCAGTAAGGTTTAGAAAAACTTTAGATGGTGAAATCTTCTTTCTGTGATTTAAAGGGAAAAATTAGTTAGAGTTCTAGACTTCATTGCTCGAAAGCGATCAGTAAAAAATTGTGTGAAATTCCACAATACGGGCGCAACGTGCGTTTTCAGTGGCAAGCTCAGAGCAAGCGTTTTGCCAAAACCCCATTTCAAAGGCATTGAAACGATGTCCAGTTGTTTCTCGCCTAACATTCGCAATATGCAAAACAAGATTTTCATCTGGGTTTGATCTTTAAATTATCTAACATTAACCAGATTATGCTTTACGAAACTTAAAACACATGTTAGGAAAAAACGTAAGAAATCCAAGGAAAATCTAAACAAGCAAAATAGTTCACGAGCGTTTCTTTAAAAAATGCATGTCTATATTATTTACCACAAGGAAATTTCAAAGTTACTCTTACGAAAACCATATTTGCGATTTCTGTGCGGTAAAGGTTTTTTTTGCACGACACGTCTTAGAATATAGCCTTGAATGATTTTCGTGTGTTTCAATTTTCTTTGAATTTTCAGATATATCTTCACATGTGTTTCAGTCTTAATATTATGATTGAATGGCTGGAATATCTTCAAAATGTTATTGCATTGCTTCAAACGCGTAATGCGTTTAGTTGTAGGAGACGTGATTAAATTTCCTCGTCGAGGCAATAAAAAAAGGCAGATTAAAAAAAATATTGTCCGAAGGTTTTGTAAAGAGGCAGATGCTTCATAAATATCAGCGTTTTTTTTTTGTTCATAATGTGGCAGTGAATCACAGTGATATTACAACCAAGTTACTTGAGGCTGATTAATTCGTAGCCTACTGAAAAGGCTGAAGTGAGATCCCAGCCCCTAACCACCTGCAACTCTTAACATACGACACTTTGTTTTTTTTCCTTCAAAAGGGCACCCACGGTGACAAAGGACTTAGAGGCCCTGAAGGTCAAAGAGGACTACCAGGGCCCCAGGCAAGTCCTTTTCCTTATTGCTGTATAATGTCCAGCCTTTTCAAATGGTGCCGTGATGCATACTTTAAGTTATAAACTCCAATTCTTCAGGGCCCTCCTGGAATCGCCGGCACTCCAGGACATCCAGGGTTACCAGGTCTGATGGGACCCATGGGTCCTAAGGTAAGATGACGTTTCTACAACTGGCGGGTCATAAAATGGAAGGACTGGGACTTATAGGGTAAACCTTTTCTTTCAAAATTTTCCCGAAAAGCTCTTTTAAAAAAATGAAAGCCGTTTACAACCCCCTGTAACGCTGAATCAGAGCGCAGCTCTTGAGGAGGAGTAGGAAAGGGTACTGAGGGGGTCACGTGACCTCTGGGGAGGGGGGGGGTCACGCGACCTGGGGGGTCACGTGACTTCGGGTCAGGTGACCTGGGGGGGGGGGGGGTCACGTGACCTCGAGGGGGGGTCACATGACCTGAGGGGGTCACGTGACCCCCACCCCCTCCCCGATGTCACCGAAGGTACCCGAGGTCCTCCCGAAGGAACCCGAGGTCCTCCCGAGGTCCTCGGGGGGGGGGGGGGGGGGGGGTGTCGCGGTCACGCCGACGGCGACGGCGACGGCGACGCCGCTCAAGCCGGAAACGGGCGCCTAAAAGCTGCGCTCTAAAATCAAATTAATACAGTAACTCAAATCTAAAGCAAATGTATTCGTGGGTACTTGCATAGCGGTGATTGGAGAGCAATCACCGCGATGTAAGGAAAAAGATGGGCCAATTACAGAAAATAAAACGATGATAATGCAATTAAATGTAGAGCTGCAAGCTTGCTGGACAAGGATTATTTTCTTCAAAATAAAACCTTTTTAGGGTAAAATAAAATCTGCGACGGGACACTGATCTTCACTTTTCATGTGTTCATGCAACTCGGATGCCAGGAACCGCATGGTCTTGCCTTCAAATTATTAGCTCGCAAACTGGAGGGCACTCATAGTCACTGAGAAGGTAAGAACGGCGTGGAAGAGCTGCAGTTGGCCCGTCACCAGCACGAACTTCCGATGTAGAGCGGAAGTTCGTCCGCTTCTTTTGCAGGGGTTGTGGTGACGTCATAAAGACGCCGAGCTCTGATTGGTTCTGATTGAAGGATAGTTGGTAGACCTCAAGGCAGCTTTGAGGGTTACCCACTATCAGTCAGAGCCAATCAGAACTTGGTGTCTCACTGACGTCACCGCCACTCCGGCAAAAGAAGTGGACGAACTTGCGCTCCGCATACCTTCGACAGTGCTTTGGCGTCTCGTGCACCTCGAGTGCGCGCGCGCAGCAAAAGCACGGCGGAAGGCACGGAGCCCGTGCTGGAGGCCGAACGTTCAAAAAACACGCCGTGCCGTTCTCACTATGCCAGCGACTCTAAACACTCGGCGAGTTTTCAAGGACAGTCGCCCTATGGGATTGAAGAAGGGGTAACGTCAACATTTGCTTGTTTGTTTGTTTGCTTCAGGGAACCGAGGGATCTCGCGGCCTGCCAGGCGAAAAGGTTGGTTTCGTTCCGAATAAAGACGCAGTTTGGTTATTAAGCAAACTCTTGAGATTGTGCCCTAGAAAGCAGTCCCATGGTTTCATCGCTTAGCTATTTTACAAGTCCAATATTTGTGCGTAATTCGCGATTAAATCAATGACGACCCTGTGTCTTTGAACCTCTCCAGGGAGAATGTGTTTACCAGACAAAGGAGGAGTACCACGTGGGTCATAGCAGAACAGTGAGTAGAAAACATTTTATTTTTTAGTTTGTCGTAGACGCAACTTTTGCACTTGTTTTCTTCGTCCTTTTAATATTTGTTTCCTTAATTAATGTGCACATTTCCATAAAGTCCCCGGGAAGATGGGATATATACGCGTTCTTGAAACCCTAAGACTTACACCATTTTGTTTCCAGGGAGCGACTGGAGCTATGGGACCCCCCGGACTGGTATGCAATGTGTCTTTCTACGACCCTTCGAATATGACAAATTAAATCGAGCCTTTTTTTATATAAACACGCATAAGTATTTAATGATTAGGTAAATCGTTTTTCTATCAGTGCCGTTGTGAAAACACCTCATTTCATGAATGATCGGGTACCTTTGTCTACAAGAGATACATAAGTGCATTGCGCGATAAATGAACTCGATTTTTTTTTCTAATAACGAAGCATATCAGCCATGGCACGTTCTTATCCAGTCGCATTTGTACTATTTGACCACAAATATTCGTCCTATTTTTTAACAAAACTGACGCTTGAAAACACGTGATGCACAACCTCTCGATGTTACCATGCTGTGACGTCATCATGGACGGCCAATCGCAGCCCGGGGAGAGGGGGGCCCGCGGGGACAGGGGACCACCAGGATCTCCAGGACAACTGGGCATGCCAGGTCCCTTGGGGTCTCCCGGCGTACCAGGGACACCCGGTACCAGAGGACAACCAGGCATGCCAGGACTGCCAGGGCCACCGGTAAGATTCTGGCTCCGGATTACTCAAGAGCTTAGAGGACGGCTGATTTAAATAGCTACATATTTTCCTGCAACGCGGAGTAACTTTAGACTTAACACAACCACGAGACTTCAGGTGGGCAGAAGATGACACACACACAAAAAGTATCAAACTTGGCTGAAAATTTATTTCACTTGCAAGGTGCTTAAATGTGAACTGCAACTAAAGAGACAGAACGTCGCAAAAGAAAGTAGAAATGCAAGCACCATCTTTCCACACCCATACTAGAGGGATATTGCTTTCCTTCTTTCTTTTGAAATGTTCTGTCTCTCTGTGGCATCCTCTATTACGCACCTTTCAAGTGAAACAGGTTTCTAGCTTTGTTTGAGACTTTTTATGTGTACTATTCCAATCAATATGCGTGTGAACACCGCTCTGCGTGGCCCGCGGTACTGCGTGCCCCCTGTAGAATGCTCCTCGAAGCGTGGATGCATGCTGTGGTCAAGACCAGTAACAATCTGCGCTCTTTGCGCCTCCCTTCACTTCCAGATCGTCTGCATGCTTAGAACGTTGCCTCCACCGTTGTAGTGGGACGATTATCGTGTGAAAACAAATTCAAAGCGTCATTGAACTCCAGCGATTAAGTTCGCAATTTATTTATGCTGTGGCGTGCATTGCTTTTACAACTGCAGGGAACGAAAGATATTGCCTACTCTTGCATCGCAATAACTTGTTGCTTCTGACAACGCCTTTTGCGGCCCTTTGTCCTCGCAAAAGGCACGTGAAGCGAATAATAATAAAAAAAGTTACTCTCACAGAATCTCACACTGTTAGCGAAAACAAGCTCTCAGCAAGTGGTGAACTGTTTCACGGTTCTGCGGACCGTTCTTCGCTAGCAGACGATCCGGATGGGCAGGGTGGTACAACGATCGTTGGAGGCGATACGTCTCGTCCGCAAAGTATCTTTATTCCCACTGAGAATTCAACAAGGGGACGGTGAGTCACGCGGAGCGGCATTCATACTCATATTGATCGTGATAGTACGTAGCCCTTTGCTTACCTGCAGTCTATTTAGTAACATGGTCGTTTGTTTTTAATGTCTAGTTGTTGTTGTACTTGTTGTTGCTGTTTTTTTTTTCTTTTTGGAGGGGGGTAGGGTTAAACATAATAAACCAGAAATACTTGACGGTTTTCGTACTCTCTATTGAAATGGAACTACGTGTTTGCTAAAGCAGCAAGATTCGATTATCTTGTGCCCGCACAGCATTTAGATTGACTTTGGGTAACACTAATTCTGGCTAAGCCGACGAAGAACCGACAAGACTTCGTCAAACACCTTACTTTGAACTGTCGTAAACTGAGATTGAGTCACCTTTAGGGCCACAGAATAATACCGACAATTTGTCTCCTTCTCAGTTCCGACGGTCCGGGTGTGATATAGAGAAAGATTTAAGAGTTGACATAAGAGAGAGCCTGATTGTGTTGCCAGTTTATTAAAAACTTATGGGGAAAAAAATTCGGTTCTGCACTAGATTGGAGGACGGATGCAGAGGACACGATATTGGCGTTGATTAGAATAAGTTATTAAAGTATAAATCATGCGGCATCTATTTTTGATTCTGAAAATTTTGAACACAGAAGTTCGGTGGTGAGACACGTCATGGTACATATATGATGCGTATATGATGTATCACATATAAGATGGCAATGTTGGGGATTCCATAAACGTAACTACATTTTACGTTTTTCCGTCCTTGGTGGATTTCAAAAGGGTCGTGGTTTTACCGAAGAGGAGATGCGAGAAGTGTGCTCCACCGTGCTCCGTGGTAAGTCGCTTCAAATTTTCCACGTTACTGACGTGTACCGATATTAAAAGCTAAGAAAATAGTAGTAAAATTCCGTAAGGGCGCCCTCCCCCGAGAGATCGCCCATCCCGTTTTTCTGGCTAAATATCGAAACATAAATATTCCGAAACATCGCCCACCTTCCAATTCCCGGTGGACGTCAAGCGATGTCCGACGGGAACCGCGCGTCAACGGCGCGATTGGCGGTACCGGTGTGTTTTCCCGCGTTTTTGTCACCGATGGGCGCGCGATATCGGCTGGCGTAACACGCTAGTTTTTTCCTGCGTGTATATTGCATCGCGAAATGTGAATCTGCTGCATTCGCGATTTGCGGTATCCGTTCCCGAGTTCGTAGCGGATTCCCGTGTTGTTGTCCGCGATCTGCGCGCGCGATATCGATTTTTAGCTTTGAGTAAACGCGCGAGTTATTCCCGCGTGTATATTGCATCGTGAAATGCGATTCTGTTGCGTCCGCGATCTGCGGTATTTTTTTATGTGACACGCGAGTCTGTAGCGTATATTCCCGCGTTTTTGTCCGCTATCTGCGCGCGCGATATCGGTTTCCGTGGCGGGCAAGATTGTAGCGGGTACACTTGAATCTGCTACGTCCGCGATCTGCGGTATCCGTTCCCGTGAGATGCGAGTTCTGGGCGGATTTCCGCGAGTCCTTCGCACCGTGAAACGCTAATCTGCTGCGTCGGCTACTTCCGGTATCCTTTTCCGTGACACAGGAGTTTGTAGCGAATCCCGCGTGTTTATCGCATCGTGAAACGCGAATCTGCCGTAACCGCGATCTGCGGTATCAGTTCCCGCGTCACGTGGTTTGTAGCGGGTGCCTCGGCGCTTATCATTAATTTTTGATGAAGTTTTGCTGTGGCATCTTCAAAGATAGCCCACCCCATGTTTTTCACCAATTATCTTTTCATTTTGGATGGGCGTCATTACGGGATTTTACGGTAAGTGAAAAAGTTAAACTACTCTTGCTTTAGGTCATACAATTTTAGAGAGAGATATTTTCTCGTTCTCATGAGCATTTTTTCTGCTAACACGTTTTCGTTTTGTGAGTATATTTTTAAACAGAAGTGATATCGTAATATGGAGGTGTGAGCTGTGTAGAAACTGGGAAACAAAGTGCTAAAACGACCGATCTAAGCGAAGATATGCTTTAAGCAGGCAAGTAGCGAGGAAGGGGGGGGGGAGGCCCATGGCTCCCCCCCTCCCTGACAACTTCTATTTTGCTGGAACCTCCTCTCACCCTCCCCCTCATACAGAATTTTGTCATGGGTGCCGTGCCCCCCCCCCCCCCCCCCCCCCTTGAAACAAAATCCTGGCTACGTGCCTGGTCTTAAGTGCTGTCAAGTGAAGGTTCCCATAGTCTGTGACAGATCAAGAACGAAGTCGGAGGAGCTCCCACTTCGTACTTGATTTGTCACCCTATGAAGCACTTGGTTTTCTGAGTACTTTTTTATTCGAAACCAATTACAAAGTATGGCTTATTGAGCCATTAAGCAATTTATGTCAATATGACGGTATGTTTTCTTAGTTATAATATCGCTTTAAAAGTGGCATCGAAAACTTTCAAGCCGAAAGTAAAAATCGGCAAAATTATTGACTTTTCAAACTTTATAAAATCAACTAATTATTTCTTTTTTTTTCTTCTTTTTTTTTTTTGGGGGGGGGGGGAGGTTGTAATCGGGTAATCAGTGTTTAGTTGCCTTGCATAGTGTATTATATCTTTGGCAAAGGTAAAGCGAATGAATAATTATTAAATACGATGTTCTACATTGTTCTATTTAAGCCTATTTTTGCATTGCGTCATTAAGTCGTGCTTTCTTTCCTTTTCTGAAAAAAAGTTGTGGGAGAACCCATACCGAAATGCTTATCATTACCGCTATATGTTTAAAGACCTAGTTTTAGACGAGTTTCGTAGGTTCTTATAAACATGACATTAACTGCTTATGTGAGAGCATGACTAAAACGATTGTGTTGCTTTAAGAGTTTTGTTATTATATAATTATTGCAGTAGATGCATGTTTAAAATTTCCTTGCCGCAACGAAAATAAAAAAAATTAAATGCGTAAGTGAACGCTTTGTCTTGTACTTTTAAATGACAATTCTTAACCAATGACTTGTAAAATCAATTCTGAACAAACCGTATAAAATACAAAATAAAAACAAATATATACTAAATTGTGTAATGCGCTGTAACGATCAGGGTGTCGCACATTTTGCGTTTCTATACTCAAACGGAAGTGTGCATTTCCGTCAAGTGATCCACAAATTTCAGCTTCATTGTACATTTGATACGCACCGCTATGAACACCGACGAAGTTAAACATAAAGTAAAACTGACAATCAACATCCAAAAAATCTCAAAAGCACCCTGCACTCAAAAAAAAAGAAAAAGATTCTACATATACTAACTTAGCCCTTTGACATCACTGCACTGCTGTGGCGCTGCTGTCGGCGCTGCAGCGAAAAAAAAAAAAAAAAGACGGACGCACGAAGATTTATTACACTGTCAGATATCGCTGACTGCATTCTGCAGCCCTGTTCAGTCCGAACACCAATCATTGGACTTTCTTTGATTGGTTCAAACGATCAGAAAGGACGACAGGCACCATGCAACATCACCTAGAGTAATCAAAGCCTGTAAACATCCTCCTTTCCCTCCACCTGACATCATCACACTTGAATTGCGCCTACTCAGCTATCAGGCCCGAGTCGGACGTTTTACGTCCTTCGACGCATTCATTGGACACGGTGGACCAGCCCAACGCTGACACGGTACTCCTGTCCATCGTCTCTGCTCAAATTCACCGTGATGAAGTTTAGATGCTAATGCACTGACTTTTATTTTTCTATATGTGGTGTAGGCTCTACTGACATTGCGAGCTTAATGGCAAAATAGTCGGACATTTTTGGCCACGAGACTGCGTGATAATATACTCGCCCTTCTCCTTTGCTAGTCCGATTATAGAACGATCTCAAGCAGCACGGAATTTGGCCAAGCATTGGCCAATGGCTGGCGATGATCTTTTGGTCAATGTCCAAGGAGTGGCCATTCATCGGCTAATGCTTGGCCGATGGCCAGTGACCTTTGTCCGATGGCCAGAGAAAGGACAGTCATTGGCCAAAGGCTGGCCACTGTATGGCTACTGGCCGAAGAACCATTGCCAGCCATCGGCCAATGATTGGCCAAATTCCGTGCTGGGATTATTGGCAAAGACTAGTATTCACAGGACGCCATACTCTTGGGCCTTGTTCGTAGCGAATTCTCAGAAACTAGCTCCCGTTTATCGTCTGCCAAGAACAACGTTCTTGATTGGGCGCATAATCGTGCGTTCCTCCCAGTCAATGTATTTGTTCTTGGCAGAAGATAAAAAGGGGGCCATAGTCGCTGGCATGGTTAGAATGGCAGGAATATCTTTCGGTTGTCTCACCTCCAGCGGGACCCTTGGTAGCGCTTCGGCGTTTCGTGACCCCCCAGCGTGCACGCGCAACCGAAGCACGGCGGAAGGCAGCGAGCGCGTCCTTGAAGCCAGACTTTCGAAAGCGAGTCTGGCTTCAAGTTATCCCAACAATATGGCGTCTTTTGAATGCCCCTTTCCGAGTGCATCTCGACGAAGCATACAACTTCTAAGATTGTAGAGTCACGCACTAGCTACAGTGGACGGAGCAGACCTGTGCGACACGCTGTCGTCCAAAAGTAAGTGGTGGACAGTCCCCAGGCACTCCGCTCTTTTCGTCCTTCTTTCCCAAACTTCCCAGAACAACTGGCCGAGCTGACGGCCAAGCTTCGCGGCCCTGCCGGTCTCCCAGGAAGAGGAAAGCCGGGGAGGGCTGGACCACCGGGGCCCCAGGGCTCACCAGGTAACTTCTAAGACGCCATGATATAGCCATCTATTGAATGTTTGCTTGTTCGAGGTAACTAAAATGTTTATTGGAAATAGAAAGAAAAAACACTTCGACAAAAAAAGTTTATGAAAAAAATCAAATTTTTACACCTTGAAGGCCGGTTTGCCCTACTGCTCAGCACTATAACTGGCTTCGCGCTGTATCGGCGTTAGATCAGCGGGCCGCTTCACATTGTCGCAGATGGAAAAGGATTGACGAGCGAAAAACTGAAAATAAAGGTTCAGTCGGCGATGTTGTGCCAGAAACGAAAGAACGAGAGTCGAGAAAGCAGCGACGAGCGTCGAAAGTCGCAGCAGGGAGCGTCGAGGTGTCGGCGTGACATCTGGGCCAATTGTCACGCCGACACCTCGACGCTTTTGTCCTTTGTCCTCCCTTTCTCCTTGTGTTTTTGCGCGCTGCTACCAGTTGTAATCATGAAACAACTCGCCTGTACTGCCACGTTGATCTAAATCAAGATTTGACCCGCCCTTTTTCTGATTGAGATTGACTTTTTTGCGAGTATTCAGATGGGGCCAGAAAGATTGACGAGCCAGAGATAAATATCAGCTATGGTGCCTTAATGATGCCTGTTTGTGACGTCACTAATACTTGCAAATAATTGAAGGTTGCCTTCGAGTGGTTATTTTTTTAAGTTAGAAATGGGGAACTGGAACAAGATGCTTCAGGTAAGTGTATGCCCGCTTGCCCCGCTTAAGACTGCATGGGTATTGCTTTCCCACGTAGCATAAAAAGTTCACGTGTGTCCAACGATTCAGCTGAAGCAGATCTAAAGGTGAGGTATTTCCTCTTTTACGCATTATTTATACTTATGAAACAATATAAAAATAGCCCGATAGACGAAGACAAAATAGAGGACGTGACAAGCGCTTTCTTGCCTTCGTGTCCGTGTCTGTCATGAGAGCCATATTTTTGTATATTATGCTTAGCGCACTGGCACACCACATTATTACTACATTACTTTCAAAGTCAATGCACTTTCGTCAAAAAAAAAAGACAGAACTTCACATTAGCTTTTTGGCGAACTTCGCCTTTCCATATACGGATCCTTCGATTGGACTATCGAATGTGACCAATATTAACTTTTTCGTTAGGTCAAGAGTGCTTATAGAGCTACTTCAATCTGGAAGTAGTTTTTACCTTTCCCTATATTAGGAGACAACATGAAACGCACAGTTTTAGGAGTAGGGAAGCCTAACTACTCCCCAAATGGAGTATTTTTACGGGATTACTTCTGCAGGGAGTAAAGTAGTGTCTACATTGCTTGCTGGAGTAGAATGAAGTACACGTCTCACGTATTAATGAGCTATTAAACTGCATAAACAATATTTTATTATTATTTTATATAGTTAGGCTAGTTATACCATGTCGCAAGATTGAAAAAAAAACAAAACAATATAACGTGATTTTAAACTCAGAATAAATTTAAAGCAAATGGGTGTTCCTTTTGCTGAGGTATATCGCAAAATACTGGCAGCTACACTTTATGTTTTTTTAGCCGACCGTATAATTTACACATGCATTTTGACCCCCTCCGCACCACAAGTCATGAACATCCCAGCCACCTTAGAAAAATAGTCCTGACCATGCAACTGCCTTGTAGTCTAGGTATTTTATAGCTACAAAATGCGCATACATTGAGTCCACTTTTTTGACACCTAATCTCACCTTTGACTATTTCACAACATGGAACATGATTAAAAACACGCCTAAAACTCTGAATACGCATTTTAACCCGTCCTGTTATCCAGAATATTTAACTAAATATCTAAAGCAATTTTTTTCCTAAAAGGGTGTTGCATGAAAGGCGCGTAAAACTTGCCATTTAAACAACGGGCCTTCGTATAATAAAACCCTTAGCCATCTCAAAAAGAAACTTTAATCACTGTCTGATTCAAGAATCAAATCGAAGAAAAACAAAATGGAATTCTAAACAATTTGTAACCGGCGCCGGCAGCCATAAACGTCGGACTGCCGGCGCCGGAAACGACTGAACCGCCAAATTTATCGTTCAGCGTCTTTTTGCGCGCTGCCATCGGTCTACTGGGCTTGCGGAAAGCGTTCTGGATATTTGCGCTAGCTCTGTTCTGCAGAATATTTGACGTCGTGCATGCCTTCACAACCCATGGTGACTCGGCATTTTTTTTTTCACCTGGCTCGTAAGCACTGGAAAAACGTATACCCTGGGCTCATCTGATTTACCCGCATCAACCTGCACTATAAAAAAAAAGGTGTAAAAGGGTGTATTGTTACACCCTTTGTCCAATATAATGCACCACACAACTTCAATTCGACGTATACAGAGTGCTATAGGGAGTATTCACTGGCGGCCATATCCGTGTGCGCTGCTGCTAAGCGCGTGCTGACGGCGAGCTTCCGCAGTCCTTCTGGAGCGTGCATTTAGCACCATCAAGATTGCCGGTCTTAGCAGGCTATTAATGTGAGCTCGCTCTGAGCATGCGCTCTAAACATCACCCTCAAATATGGCGTCCAGTGAATACCTCCTATAGTCGAAGAGACGGCCCCAAATTTTAGGAGGGGCTTGATAGCCGTGTTTTACAGCTTATTAAAATAGCTAATGTATGTTTTACTGACTACTAAAAAAAAAGTAATCTGAGTTTTCCTGACCTTACTGCAAAAACTTGGTGTTTTCTTTGTGTTGTGTATTCAAGTTCTCGCGCCCCGGTCCTCACCGAGGAGTCGCGTATATTGAGGTTCCCCTACGTTGCACCAGATGGAACCACGCGTCCGGAGAGCACCGAACCGGACGCGTGTCAGGTTTCGTTTTCGCGTGCCTCGCGCGCCTAGGGACTCTGCGCCCCCGCGAGACCGCGCACGTCCTCGCCGAGCGTTGGAGCGACCCTCCACAATGTAATCAAGGTAATCCCGACCAGCCACACGGGCTGGATATATACTCTAATAAAGTTGCGTTCTTACGTATCAAGGACTCAACAACTGGCGACGAGGCAAGTGATCCCCGGACTCGCCTTCCACGTATGTACGGCGTCAGAGCGTACTACGTCCCGTTCTGCGCGTGAAGCCCTGCGCTGCGCTCCGAAACCAGAACTCTTGGGTGTGGCCACCCTCCATTGTGTTCACCCTCCTTGGACCCGACATGTCTTCCCCGGACGAAGATACTCCGACTGTTGTGATGGCTCCTTCGGCCCCATACCTCGCCCTGGCTGAATTTTCGCCGGATCAGCCAGCCGCTTGGCCCGTGTACCGGGAACGGCTTGAATTTTACTTTCAAGCTCAGAACATCGCAACCGATGACAAGCGGAAAGCCATCCTCTGTAGTGCCTGCGGAGTGGACACCTACACACTCCTTCGCTCCCTGTGTGCCCCCAAGACGCCGATGCAGACACCATACGCTGACATCGTGGCTAAACTGGATACCCACTTCGTCAGCAAGCCCTCTGTCACCTTGGAACGCTTTCGATTCAACAAACGGGATCAGCTCCAAGGAGAGACAGTGCCGGCCTACCTCGCTGCACTTCGGCATCTCGCTCGTCATTGCGAGTTTGAGGACTGGCTTGATCGTCTACTGTGCGACCGACTGCTATGCGGCTTGCGCGACGAGACCCTTCAGCGCCGACTGTTGGCTGAACCAGAGCTCACACTGACCAAGGCTGTTCAGATGGCTCGGGCTGCTGAGGAAGCAGCCGTTAAGACAGAAGAACTTCGTCGCACCAGGTCAGAAGCTCGCCAAGAGCAAAACCAAGTGGCACAGGCGCCGCGGAAGCCCCCCAGTGGTAGCGCTTCCACCAACGATCGATCGTCTCATGTCCAGTGCTGGAGATGCACGGGCTCACACGACGCCGCAAACTGTTCCTACGCCAGTGTCGTATGCCACTTCTGCGGCAACAAAGGACACCTGCAGAAGGCCTGCCGTAAAAAAGCGGCAAAAGGAAAAAAGAAACCGGGCAAGGCTTCTGAGCGACCACCTGACTCCGAACGGCGGCCCAGAGGCCGTAATCACCAGCTGACAGAAGCAACCGATCCCCCGGATCAGGACGTATACCACGTGACGCCGTCCGTTTGCTACACGGGTCAACCTGTGGAGGAGGTTCCGGTTCTTCAGTCACTGTCGACAGTCAGCTCCGTCACCCCCGCTGTATTCGCAGAGGTTGCGATCAACGGACATGCTTTATCCATGGAGGTGGACTCAGGCTCCGCCTGCACCGTGATCAGCTCAGAGACTTTCAGAGTTCTGGACCTCACGACCACTAATCTTCAACCCTCTCCACTCCAGCTACAATCCTACACCCACGAGCGGCTCGACATCATGGGTACACTGGAGGTTGACGTCACTTACAAGACCCGAGAGGCACGCCTTCCTCTTCTGGTGGTGAAAGGAACCGGCACCAGTCTGCTCGGTCGAGACTGGTTTCCTGCGTTGGGAATCGGCCTCAGTGGCGTGAAGCAACTCTCTGAAGAACGAACCCTTCGGCAGCAACCAGTCAGCGTTGTGGTAGCCGAATTTCCTGAAGTCTTCAAGGAGGGACTGGGAAAAAGCAAAGGACTACCTGTTCGCATCGAGGTCGCCCCTGCGGCTACACCCCGCTTCCTCAAAGCGCGCCAGGTACCTGTTGCTCTACGTCCTCGCGTCGAAGCCGCCATCGACATTCTCGTCGAGCAAGGCGTCTACCAGCCAGTGCGTAATTCACGTTGGTCAACCCCGGTCGTCCCAATTGTGAAGAAAAATGGCAAGATTCGCCTCTGCGGCGACTACAAGTGCACCGTCAATCCTGTGCTCCAATGGGAGACATACCCCTTACCTACCACAGAGCAGCTCTTCGCCAACCTCGCAGGTTGCAAGGTGTTCTCGCGCCTTGACCTAGATCAAGCATACCAGCAGCTGACTGTGGACGACGAGACCGCCGACTTGCTAACGGTCAACACGCATCGCGGACTGTTTCGAGTCACCCGCCTTCCATTCGGTGTCGCCACAGCCGTTG